TTTAACAACATTTTTAAGAAACCCCAGACGTCTTAAAGAAACTGTCATCGTATTTTTAATTGATCCTTCATTTAAAGATTGACAAAGGTATCCTAGAAACCTTAATCTAATAATGTTGAAGATAATTTCGCTTAGCTGGCTTGACGTTTTTAATTCGGATAATTTCTCCAAGAAAGAAATCACTTTTGTAAAGAAACAACACAAAAAAACGTTTTCACAAATAAAAACATTGATATGCAAAACATACTTGATCAGACAAACAAAAGGTTACTATTGTAAATCGGACATTCCACTTTCCATTTTAAGATGACTTGAAATTATGTTTACAAAGGCCGAATTTAAAGAATTTGAGCCACGGCTTAAATTTGAGACGCGGCTCAAATATGGTTGGTTCCACTTTAAATTGTATTCAACGTTTCAAGATTTAAGCCGGCGCTCAATTGGAACCGGTTTTTGGTGGATTTGAAACGAGGCTCAAATTCATTAAATTCTGACACAATCCCCTTAATACTTTATTTATTGGTTTTATTTTCCTGTGTTTCCTGTCATATCCATTAAATAATGTTGATTTGATAAAGCTTCACTATAAGATTAAATAATAACGAAACACCCTTTCCGAAATTTTTAGAAATCACATAACAACATTGAAGATAATTTTAGCAATCATAACAACATTGGAGATAATTTTAGCAATCATAACAACATTAAAGATGATTTTTAGCAATCACTTAACAACATTGGAGATAATTTTGGCAATCATAACAACATTGAAGATATTTTTTAGCAATCACTTAACAACATTAAAGATAATTTTTAGCAATCACGTAACAACATTTGAGATAATTTTAGCAATCATAACAACATTGGAGATAATTTTATTAACACTTTTCTAAACATTAATTTTTGTCTGTAAAGATGTTTGTAAAAATAAATATTCGTTATTTGTAAACAAATGTTAGGGTTCTATAACAATGTTATAGAGATCATCTAATAATCATCAAAATTCCGTATAATCTAGATATTAAGAATGTGTAAGAACATTGTCATTTTTCTTGGTTTAAAAAGTGCTTTCCTGCAGTAGAATTGCGCAAGTCAATTTTAAAAAGAAAATAATCTGTTTTCAAAATTAAAAACATTGATATCTTATTCATACTTGATCAGACAAAGTTTTAAAGGGCACTTCTAGTGCTGTTTAGGGTAGTTGAACTACCGTTAACAGTCCCTTTAAGTCTGAAGATTGGCTAAGCATGTGTTGACATTAAAAATGGGTATTTAATGTTTAATCTTAATTACGCTAACAATAATTTCAAAATAAACTGGTTTGTTTGATTTTCGATATATTTTTTCTGCCTGAAAATACTGAAATGTTGGCTGGGTAAATGTTATAAAGTGGTTTCTGAACCTTGGAATTTACAATTAAATTCTTCACAGCTTAAATACAGGGGGTTTCTCAATAAATTCATATAGGATTTTAGATGGAATCTGAGAATTATCTTTCTAACCCCGCACTCCCTTGTACAGAAGGAGTTGGTCATTTTCATGAAACATTACTTGTACTACTTTATAGCTTCGTAGCTCCTCTATTCTATATCAGGTAGAAATCAGAAATACAAAACTTTTCTTCTTGATAGCATTTCATTAGGAGAAATTATGATTACAAACAATCATTATTTGATCGACGTCACCCCGATGTTTATTACGAGTAAGGACCTCTTTATTTGTTTATTGATCCACCCTGTAGAGTGTACAATCCAGGACAAGTATGTGTATGGTACATAAGCTGTAACATGAGACAGGATAATTTCAATAAGAGCCGATACATCTTAATAAATAAGACAATAGGCCGATAAACATTTGAACTACAGATAGATAGATAGTGTACATGGTCAATATATAGATTAATAGATAGACAGATAGCTTGTAATGCAATATATATACATATATTGGATAAAAATATTGTTTGTCGTAGGATAATATATAGATTAATAGATAGACAGATAGCTTGTAATGCAATAGATATAAATATATTGGATAAAAATATTGTTTTTCGTAGGAAAAAATATAGCTTAATAAATAGACAGATAGCTTGTAATACAATAGATATACATATATTGGATAAAAATATTGTTTTTCGTAGGATCAGATATAAATATCAGATAGAGGAAAGCTCTATCTGATATTTATATCTGATCCTACGAAAAACAATATTTTTGTTGGATAATGATATTTTGTAGTTATTTACATAGATAGATAGATTGTTTTTTCAATAGTTGAACAGATGATATTTTTAGGTTTTGATAGATATCAGATTTTTGGGGGAAAAAGTTTGTTTCCATGAGATAGTTTATAGTTGGGTAAGTATAAGAATTCATTAAGTGAAGCAGTTTGCTCATTATTAAAATCATATTTTAGCCCTTACGAATCGTTTTATTATACCACAGTTTCATGGATATCACTGTATATATGTTATTTGGATAGATAGAAATTGTTGATTTATAGTTGATAAGATAGCATTTGTTGTGCAGAATATGGATCGTAGTGATATTGATATATTATTTTTTGATGGATAGATACATGATAGCTAAATAGATAGTATTTACTCCTGTATAAAAGGTAGAAGGGTAGCTTGAAATAAGATTAGTAAATAAATACCGCATAATTGCTCCTCATTCCTTCATCTTATACTCTTACATGTTGGACCGATCGACAAACTAAAATAAATTCCAGATAATATTTAAATCTTAACTCCTTTTATAAAAGGGGTTTAGTAAAGATGAAAAAATTACGAATTTCTGATATTTTACCGAATACAATTGATTTCTGATATTTTACCGAATACAATTGATTTCTGATATTTTACCGAATACAATTGATTTCTGATATTTTACCGAATACAATTGATTTCTGATATTTTACCGAATACAATTGATTTCTGATATTTTACCGAATACAATTGATTTCTGATATTTTACCGAATACAATTGATTTCTGATATTTTACCGAATACAATTGATTTTCTCATAAAATCAAAACTCAGGAGCTATGAGATTAAAACGCTGCAGATTTGATTGCATGAAACAAGATTGTTAGAAATGCAATTGCTAGAAAAGCAGGTACCTCACATTTATTTAACCCTTTTCGTTCATTTCACGACCCCTCGATCGCAAACGACTTAATCTTGTTATGTCCTGACTTTATCAGAATAAATTCAGAGGTAAGAGGAAATGAAAAATCTGTCTTGTTCTTATTTGGGGTCGAAATTGAAGGCTGACTAACTTTGAATCTAGGACATCTGAGTCGCCTTGCCACCCCACTTCCTCCATCTTGTTACTAGTGTGGACATCTTTGCATTTATTTGAAGATATCCTGCAGTCCNAAGATATCCTAGTTATCCGGGTGTTCTACTGAGGTCGGATTAAAATATATCCTAGTTATCCGGGTGTTCTACTGAGGATGGATTTGATGATATCCTAGTTTATCCGGGTGTTCCACTGAGGACGGATTTGAAGATAACCTAGTTTATCCGTGTGTTCTACTGAGGACGGATTTAAAGATATCCTAGTTTATCCGGGTGTTCTACTGAGGACGGATTTGAAGATAACCTAGTTTATCCGGGTGTTCTACTGAGGACGGATTTGAAGATATCCTAGTTTATCCGGGTGTTCTACTTGACCCTCCCCTGTCACATTGATTCATACGCTCCGTTGGGTTGAGCAACTTCTTAACTCATTTAGGTATTAGGGGCAACAACAGATGTGGTTCATGAAATTGGGGAGGAGGGGGGGGGGCATGATCTTTTTAAACCATAAATTCTGGATGGCTTTTTTTCGGGGAAAAAATGGAAATTTTTAGGAGGACCCCTGAATATAAGTGTTAAGTGTGTACCCAGTCTGAGCGCGAGTTGAGGCGCAGGGTTCAAATCTAGGGGGTTCAGTCAGTTTAAGGGTAGCAGTGTAGTCTAAGAGATATACAAGTTTATTTTGGTGCTGTTTCGAATATTAAACAATAAATATTCGGCCATTTTTGGGAATTAAATGTGATAAAAGATATAATTTATTGACAAAATATAAAATACGATCAGTGAAAAAAAAGTAAAGAAAAAAACCTAATAAAAATAATAACACTGGAATTGTCAATACATTTAAATATATTGTTATCTCCTATTTTCGCAAGATGGGTCTTATCTTTGCAATATCTATTTCCAAGTAAGATTAAATATTTGGTCATATAGAAATCTGACATGGTTTTAATTTTAACTCCGCTTTTTAAAAAGTTATGAAACGTAACAAAAGCAAAAGATAAGGAGTTACGAGGTCAAAAAGTTCCAACTGTAATTTTGCATACATTTAAAAAAATATTTTTTCTTGGAATCTAGAGCGCTTTGCACCCTTTTTCATATGAACATTTTTGGCTTTTAACTTTGAACTTTTTGGCCGGAAACCTTCTCTAGGGTCATGTGAGTTGCCATAAAAAATGTGGCCCGATCGGTGTTGACGTTTTAAAGTTTATTGGATACAATAAGACAGACAAGCAAAGTATATATTTATAACTTTATATACTTGGTTTTGCAAGATGGATCTAATCTTTACAATTTCTTTGGGAGTTCGTTGAACAACAAATCTTAAACAATTGGAAAATGGAACACTCTTACTTTTCCTTCGAAGATTGTTGCAAGTTGGACAGTAGGGAAATGTTTAAAGAATTTATTGTTTATATAAATTATACATAAAATGATTTAAGAAAGTACAATTATTCGTCAAGAAAAAATTTAACTTAACTCTGATAATATCTTTACTATGCGAAAGTAATGTTGGGTGAAAAACCACGCCAGGCAAAAAATGACAGCATTTAAATGCTCTTGTCTTTGAGAATATTTTAGGATTAGCCACTAACCATGAGCCTTTAATGACGACATTTTTCATATATATTTATTTATATATATTTATTTTTATATAGAAAAGCAGGTACCTCACATTTATATTTGCATTTTTTCTTACAATATGGGTAAATCATAACTTAACCTTACAATTTATAAACTTAAGGTCTAAAGACCGGGGCTCTAGATTCTAAGTTGAAACTCCAAGAAGTGAAAGAGGTTAAACCATGGCGTCCAATTGATGAAGTTCGGCTCCAAGAAGTTGAAGAGCTAAAACTTCAACAAAGGACTGAACCTGGACTCCAACAAGTTTCAGAGCTTCAAGCTAAACCTGGACTCCAACAAGTTTCAGAGCTTCAATCTAAACCTCGACTCCAACAAGTTTCCAAGCTTCAATCTACACCTCGACTCCAGCAAGTTTCCAAGCTTCAAGCTAGACCTGGAGCTAAGAAAACTGGACTAGTTCTACAGAAGGTTCATCTAGAAGGACCAGAGCAGGGATATAACCTGGATCTAGTGACCAGTAAGAACGTCAAGGTTGTCAAGGAGACCCTTCAGCAAGTTGGGGAAATTCCCCTTCAAGAGGTTAAAGTTGTAAATCAAGGAAGACAGAAAGGGGATAGCCTGCTTTTACCAACTTATCATGTAAGAAACGTTTTTTTGTAACGCCCTTTTAACGCTCTTAAGGAAGCGAAAACAAATTCAAAGGAACTGATTACTCGTAACAAATTCGTATTTTCTAATCCCTATATTTTTGCAACCTTATGGTACAGACCTTTGCTATTTCTAAAGTCGACGACATCATAGTCGCAAAGATAAAAGGATTGAAATATTAGAGTTTGTAGCAATTAATCAGCTTCTTTGAAAAAATCCAAATAAGGATTGCACAATCTATTATTTAGAAGAAAAAACTCCAAAATAAAACTATCCGAAAGCATAAAGAAAGGACCAAGGTGGAAAAGCAAAGAAAACTGGACACACTCAGAACAATTTTGCATTTTTGAAATGAATTGAATCTTTGCCACAAACTCTTATATTCTTATCACTATATCTTTGCAACCCAATGTCGTAGACCTAGATATTCAAAACTGTGAATTCTGTTAAGTCAAATAATCTAATTTCGAAATATAAAAGGTTTACAGCAAGAAATCCAGATATAGGGATTAGAAAATTTGACTTTGTGGCAACGACTCAATTCCTTTGAAAAATACAACTCTAATATAGTTGTATTATGACTTATAATTTCTTCTAAAAGAAAGTTAGCATTTGCTATTTGAAATATTTAATTATACATTTTCTGCTTTAAGGATTACGTGGATTTAACGGTTCTGTCAATATTTTTGATAGCTTTTTCTTTCGATCACAATTTGACCCATTAAATATAATTGATTAGCCTTTTTCTTAAATACTTGTTGGTGATGAATACGTTATGAATGAAAAAGTATAGAATAAACAAACTGTAAGTTTAAAGAATGTTGAATTATAGACCAAAACACGTTGGATTACAAATAAAAAAGCCGAACTCTGGTTAGTCCGGGGTGGGATTGAGTTCCATTAAAAAGTCATGACATTAAAGGCATTCCCTATCAACTTCACTACTGCAGGAATCCAGACACAAGCAGACGACTTTTTCACAAAATAGAAAATCAGCTGACAAACTGCAAGCACTCAAAAATATCAATAAATCCTCTGAACTTCCTGATTATAACAAGGGAGCAACAGTTTTCATGAAAAAAAGTTTTGTTTCATTTAGGACCATTTTCTTAAAATTATATATGATTAGATGCATGCTGTTTATTAAAAAAACTTGCCTTTTTTTCTTTCTTACATTTAGGGTACTAAGCAAGTAAAAACAGTAGTTTCTGAAGTAGTGAATTCTGTTCTGGTGTATTTTTTGTCCGAGATCATAACTCATAAATAGTGTTGTGCCTTTGGGTTTTGGGTCGTTTTTTGTTTTTATTTTCTTTCTATTTCTATTAGAGTAAAAAAGAAGAAATCTATTTATAAAAGTGTATTTTAAATATTAATTTTTCTTACACTTTGTCAAATTTTTTCTATTTTTACACTACGTCAAATTTTTTTCTATATCTATTTCTATTAGTGTAAAAAAGAACAAATCTATTTATAATAGTGCATTCTAAATATTAATTTTTCTTAAACTATGTCAATTTTTTTCTGATTTTACACTATTTCAATTTTTTTTCTATATCTATTTCTTTTAGTGTAAAAAAGAACAAATCTATTTATAATAGTGTATTCTAAATATTAATTTTTCTTACACTTTGTCAAATTTCTTCTATTTATACACTACGTCAAATTTTTTTCTATATCTATTTCTATTAGTGTAAAAAAGAACAAATCTATTTATAATAGTGCATTCTAAATATTAATTTTTCTTAAACTATGTCAAATTTTTTCTGATTTTACACTATTTCAATTTGTTTTCTATATCTATTTCTATTAGTGTAAAAAAGAACAAATCTATTTATAATAGTGTCTTCTAAATATTAATTTTTCTTACACTATGTCAAATTTTTGCCCTAGCAGAAAAAAAGAAAAAACGACCCAAAAACGATGTAAAAACAAACGTGTCTTAATGTTTTTTTAGGTCAAAGATATATTGCTAAGTTTAATAAAATCGAAGTTTAACATTCCAAAACTCTTCACCAATTTGCCTTTAATATTGATTAAGGAACTCTGCATAATGATTAAATATTCCTAGTTTGGTTTATCAAATCTTAAATTGAATAGTAGGTTTAATATTGATTAAGGAACTCTGCAGAATGATGGAATATTCCTAGTTTGGTTGATCAAATCTTAAATTGAATAGTAGGTTTAACTTCTAGGCAAAGCAGGGTTCTAAAGTTGATTAAGGAACTCTGCAGAATCATGGAATATTCCTAGTTTGGTTTATCAAATCTTAAATTGAGTAGGTTTAACTTCTAGGCAAAGCAGGGTTCTAAAGCTAGAAATCTAGATTATCAGTGGCATAGAAATTAAAAAGTTTCATGTCGACGTTAACGTCTCATTTATAGGGGTTAGAATTAAATGATGAAAGCATGTTCACTTTTCATTAATTTCAAATCTGTTGCTTCCTGGATAGATGAGTGAGGTTTATCATGAGAAAAAACTGAGAACAAAGATGGTCTTACCAGGAGACAGGGTGGATAGAACAGGGTAAGTACTGGACAGGGTGGATAGAACCGGGTAAGTACTGGACAGGGTGAATAGAACAGGTAATTACTGGACAGGGTAAATAGAACAGGGCAAATACCGGACAGGGTGGGTAGAATAGGTAAGTACTGGACAAGGTGAGTAGAACAGGGCAAATACTGAACAGGGTGGATTAGAACAGGGCAAGTACTGGACAGGGTGAATAGAACAGGATAAGTTCTGGACAGGGTGAATAGAACAGGGTAAGTACTGGACAGGGTGAATAGAACAGGGTAAGTACCGAAGAGTGAATAGAACAGGGTAAGACAGAGTGGATAGAACAGGGTAAGTACTGGACAAGGTGAATGGAACAGGGTAAGTACTGGACAGGGTGAAATGAACAGAGTAAGTACTGGACAGAGTGGATAGAACAGAAGTTCTAGACATATTGGATAGAGCAGGGTAAGTTTTACCACTTGCCCAAATTTTTCTTTCTACTTTACATGACCCTAGGTATGGTTTATATGGTTGCTCAAATTTACAAAAAGTGTGTCTCACAAATTTTGAAAATCCACGAAACCCAAATTTTAAATACGCAAAATTTGGTAAAATTGCATCGAAGAGAAAATATCCTAGTCTATGTTATAAAGCTCTCTGTAAAGTTTAAGTAAATTGGTAGATTTTGGACAGAACTTGCTTTACATACTGCAGTCCCCTTGAGCCCCATTAATTTAAATTCTTCTGACATAGTAGATAAACATGGATTCAAATTGATCTGGTCCGCCATGATTTAGTGACGGAGTAGATAGACATGGAGATAAATTGATCTGGTCCGCCATGATTTAGTGACGGAGTAGAAAAAAATGGAGATAATGGATCTGTTCCGCCAGATCACATGACTCAGTGGCGAGTATTTAGAAATAGAGGAAAAATCGAACTAGTCTGCCTTGTAACATATGTCTAAGCTACAGTTAAAACATTACTTCATTTAGAAAGAAAGAATCTAAAGATTGTCTTGTGAGCCGAGTTTAAGAAAAAGAACCCACTCTCAATCAATTTAGAATAATAGCTTTTAAAAATGACCTTGTATTGCATTATCTTTATCAACATTATTTTCTCCTGGACAATGATTACAAGGACATTTTTATTATGCACATTTTGGACTCAAAGTCTGTAATCAATGCAGGTCACGTGATAAAGTGGACTGCCTCATTTTCCTCTCTTTATTTCTGCTCTGTCTCTAGTACTTCAGTGAGTTCAGTGAGTTCAGTGAGTTCAGTGAGTTCAGTGAGTTCAGTGAGTTCAGTGAGTTCAGTGAGTTCAATAAGTTCAGTGAGTTCAGTGAGTTCAGCGAGTCCAACGAGTTCAGCGAGTTAAGTGAGTTCAGTGAGTTCAGTGAGTTCAGTTAGTTCAGTGCGTTCAGTGAGTTCAGTTAGTTCAGTTAGTTCAGTGAGTTCAGTGAGTTCAGTGAGTTCAGTGAGTTTAGTGAGTTCAGTGAGTTTAGTGAGTTCAGTGAGTTCAGTGAGTTCAGTGAGTTCAGTGAGTTCAGTGAGTTCAGTGAGTTCAGATAGTTCAGAGAGTTCAGTGAGTTCAGTGAGTTCAGTAGTTCAGTGAGTTCAGTGAGTTCAGTGAGTTCAGTGAGTTCAGTGAGTTCAGTGAGTTCAGTGAGTTCAGTGAGTTCAGTGAGTTCAGTGAGTTCAGTGAGTTCAGTGAGTTCAGTGAGTTCAGTGAGTTCAGTGAGTTCAGTGAGTTCAGTGAGTTCAGTGAGTTCAGTGAGTTCAGTGAGTTCAGTGAGTTCAGTGAGTTCAGTGAGTTCAGTGAGTTCAGTGAGTTCAGTGAGTTCAGTGAGTTCAGTGAGTTCAGTGAGTTCAGTGAGTTCAGTGAGTTCAGTGAGTTCAGTGAGTTCAGTGAGTTCAGTGAGTTCAGTGAGTTCAGTGAGTTCAGTGAGTTCAGTGAGTTCAGTGAGTTCAGTGAGTTCAGTGAGTTCAGTGAGTTCAGTGAGTTCAGTGAGTTCAGTGAGTTCAGTGAGTTCAGTGAGTTCAGTGAGTTCAGTGAGTTCAGTGAGTTCAGTGAGTTCAGTGAGTTCAGTGAGTTCAGTGAGTTCAGTGAGTTCAGTGAGTTCAGTGAGTTCAGTGAGTTCAGTGAGTTCAGTGAGTTCAGTGAGTTAATTGAGTTCAGTTCGAGTTCAGTTAGTTCAGTTAGTTCAATTAATTCAGTGAGTTCAGTGATGAGTTCAGTGAGTTCAGATAGTTAAGTGAGTTCAGTTAGTTCGGTGAGTTCAATTAGTTCAGTTAGTTCTGTTAGTTCAGTTAATTCAGTTAGTTCAGTTAGTTCAGTTAGTTCAGTTAGTTCAGTTAGTTCAGTTAGTTCAGTTAGTTCAGTTAATTCAGTTAGTTCAGTTAGTTCAGTTAGTTCAGTTAGTTCAGTTAGTTCAGTTAGTTCAGTTAGTTCAGTTAGTTCAGTTTGTTCAGTTAGTTCATTGCACCAAATTCATTAGAACTCTTTACAATGGGACAACATATTATACTTAGAGTAATTGAGCTTAACAAATCCTATTTAGCTGAAATATACACTGCAGTCTTTAGAACCTTTCCGACAGTACAGTGAAAACTATATAACTCTGGAATGGAAAGACGACATTTAAGCCCAAGTTATGACGTAAAATAGTGTAAAATGAAGATGAGACATAGCAATTGTGCAGAATTATTATGAACAGACCCATTTCACTTAATAAGTGATTTGATAAGTTACTAGTTCTACTATTTGGTTTGTAACATCAAATAAACTTTTACTATTATTTAAATGTCGTCTTCCTTTTCCACAGTTCTGGTTCTTACTCAGTGTAAAAGATGAGGATTTCTATTACGAATTGAAATGTTTTTTATAAAAATTGTAATTAGACAGAAATTTCACATTTATATTTAAAAAGGACGTAAAATGTATTCGGGTTTAAAGAAAATAAATAAATGTGTTTAGGGTTAGAAGCTCTAGAGTAATAAATGTGTTTAGGGTTAGAAGCTCTAGAGTAATAATTGTGTTTAGGGTTAGAAGCTCTGGAGTAATAAATGTGTTTAGGGTTAGAAGCTCTAGAGTAATAAATGTGTTTAGGGTTAGAAGCTCTAGAGTAATAAATGTGTTTAGGGTTAGAAGCTCTAGAGTAATAAATGTGTTTAGGGTTAGAAGCTCTAGAGTAATAATTGTGTTTAGGGTTAGAAGCTCTAGAGTAAGAAATGTGTTTAGGGTTAGAAGCTCTAAAGTAATAAATGTGTTTAGGGTTAGAAGCTCTAGAGTAATTATTGTGTTTAGGGTTAGAAGCTCTAGAGTTCAAGAGAATCTTCAAGAAGTTCGACCAGTGTATGTTCCTGCAGTATCAGTTACTAGGTAGAAATAACATTATTAAAGGGACTGTAAGCGTAATTTCAACTCCTACTCATGAAAATATGACAATGCACGATTTATTTTTAACGTGAAAAGTGATTATTTCTGTTAATTATTCCATTCTTTCTTATAAGCATGAAATGCGCAAGTCAATGTTGCAGAGAAACCACAAAATAAACAGGTTTTAAAAAAATGAAGTTCCAATTCATACTTAATCAGACAAAGCTTTGAAGGCCGGATACTGTTTTAAATCGGAAATTGTCATCTTTGCACGGGAGGTCACTTGAAATTACTTTAAAACATCATTTATCAAAAAATCTTTATAATTTATTTTCTTGTTTTTTGAGTTAAAAAGTAAGTTAAATAATTTGTCTCTTTTGATGTAAAATTATGTACATAAACTTTATTTTTCTCATGACAAGTCAGAATTTGGATACTATTTGAAGTTAAAGTATTTCAAATGCTCTCAATTAATGTCTTATGTCTAAAAATGGGCTATTTAGTTCAACATGCAACACTTTTAAAACAGTAAGTCACAAAGTCACATAGATGTGATTGCAATTATGAACAATGTACAATGTACTTGCTAACATGTATTAGTTTAGTTTGTTTAATGATGCTGGGTTACCAAGGAAAAAGTCTACTGATTTTGATAAGGAGTTTCAGGATAATACTCGGGTAAGATAGTCAGTCAAACTTCAAAATTGGTTTAGGATTGAGAAACACTATTTTCAGCTCATACAGTTATCTATATTAAAGAAGTTTCCTGAAGGGGAAGGGGGTGGAACTTTTGAAGCTTTGCATGGTATGAAAACTGGGTTTTCGAGATAAAGTTTTTTTTCGAAAATTCCTACAATTATGATTTAGCGATACAATTTGGGGAAAAATGTCGGGAAAAATGCCTTTGCATTAATTAATTTAAATCTTTCATGGACTTTCCTTCAAAACTGCAGAAACTTTCATTCTATCCCGAACACGGAATCAAATAGAAATACGTTGAGGTTCTGGAGAAAGTGAACTCTGGTTCTGAAAGTTATGACAATTCTATTGAGAAGAGGAAAGCTGGAACGTACAGTGTACAGGGGGATGGTATAACAGTAGAAGAATCTGGAAGCACTGAATATGGTCAGTTTAGCTCCTCTGGATCCTCCCTAGCTGGTCAGGACACTAGTGGGAAGAATACTCAGATTATTATTACCCTCAACAATAATCCAAGTATACAGGTAATGCACTTTTTCTAGAGCGCATGATGTTTCAGTTCCAGAGGTTTAAAATCTTGTAAAAGATTTAACTTGAAACAAACAGAAGATTTATTTTATTTTTGAGATTCCAATTATTTGATTTTTGATGTTTTACAGGATTTGCGCACAATTTCTTTATAAATTTGTTACATTAAATATTTTGAAGGTCTTCCGAGAGAAGCAAACAGATAAATCTGATCCCAAACATTATCCTAAGCCTCCAACTATTCTAACAACAGTGAGACCTTCCTACACCACTACTAGACCAGGTCCTCCTTCACCTCCAGCTCCTCCTCCACTCACTTCTCCAGTTTCCGAATATACAGTAACGAATGACTATGAGGATGATGAAGATGATGATAAGATAATAGCTGCGGTGGAAGCAGAAGATTACTACTTTGATAGTTTTGATAATACCAGGCAAACAAGTAGCGGTCAACTAACCGACAGCTATGGAGTTCCTTTATCCAAAAAGACAACAAAAAGACCTGTAGATAACAGCATACAAGGATCTAGGGCGGGCAGAAGAAGATTCAACCAAGGCTCAAGAAGCAACCAAATAACTTCAGACACTCTTCAATCAAGTTTTGATAATGCGTTTGATCCAGGTTTGGTTGTTCAAGAGTTACTTCCTCCCCTGGAAACTCCTGACTCTAATTCACCTCAGAACAAATTAACTTTTACTTTGCCTAAACTGATTCCCCCTTCTTCATCTCCTTCTAAAATAAACCCTTATAACTCCCAGCCCTTGACAGTTACATTAACAACTCCTGACCCAACAGATGCATCAGAACCATTCACTTCCTTCTTCGGTTCAAACTCTATTCCATCTCCCCCTGCCCCTCCTCCTTCACCACCCCCTTCATACTACACTGCACCATCTCAGTCTACTCCTGAACCATTTCAAAGACCGATTATACCTTCACTTCAATCAGGACCTTCTCCTCCTTCACCTTTACCTTCTTACTACACTGCCCCTATTGCACCACCTATTTCTCCATCTGTTCAGTCTGGTCCAGCTCCACCCTCCCCTCCTCCTTCCTACTACACTGCCCCTATTGCACCCCCAATTTCTGCATCTGTTCAATCAGGTGCATCTCCACCCTCCCCTCCTTCTTCTTACTACTCTGCACCTAGCCAACAAATTCCACCACCAATTGCCCCATCTACCCAATTTGGCCCTCCACCACCTTCCCAACCATCCACCTATTATTCTGCACCTATATCTCCTTCCGTCCAATCAGGTCCTGCTCCCCCCTTACCTCCTCAAACATCATACTATTCGCCACAAACTCAACAAATATCTCCATCTGCTCAATCAGATCCTTCTCCACCCTCAATACCGCCATCATCATACTACTCCACACCAAATCAACCAATTGCACCTTCACCTCAATCTAGTTTTGCACCTTCGTTACAGCCAAATCCTCCTCAACAATCACATACTCCTCCTCAACAGTTTGCCCCTGTGGGTCCCCCCAAGCAGTTCTACAATAGTCCCTCTTCCGACTTATCTGCTCCAGTAGACAACTCTTACTCTGCTCCTAGAGCTCCTGTTATCCAACCAGATGAAACACCATGGCAACCTTCCAAACCTCAAGATGATAGACCATCCTACAAACCTCCTCAAGATGATAGACCATCCTACAAACCTCCTCAAGATGATACTAAGCCATCCTTTGCCCCACCTGCATCTAATGACAACTCAGTAAGCAGCGGAGATATACATTACCATATTCACGTTGGTAACACTCAGGAACTAAAGGATATTCAAGCTCAGTTTGGAGATTCAGTTGAATCCAACCCTCCAGCCCCTCCACCAAGAGTAAGACCACCTCCACCTACGCGAGCTCCAGCTCCCCCTCTAACTAGAGCACCTGCTCCTCCTCCTATAAGAACAAGAGCACCCCCGCCCCGGCCCTATAAAATCCAGTATATACCCCAAACTGTTCAAATTTTACAAAACCCCCGACCTCAATATCTATCTAAACCTGTTCGATACCTAACCAGGCCAGCTCGGGATCAGAATAGCGATGAAACATGGAAAAGCAAATTAGAGGTGAGCTTTCTGTCTTTTAATTACATTCTTTAGGCTATTTCTGTTTCTTGAGCGTAAAGGGACTGTAAGCGTAATTTTAAGTGACCCTCCATGCAAAGATGACAATGCCTTATTCAAAACGTTACCCTTTAAACCCTTATATGATCAATATGTAAATATATTGTGGTTTTTCTTTTTTTACAAGTGTTGAATTCTGATAATTCCTTTATGTTTTCCTGCGTCGAAAAATAATCAATGACTATAGGTTGTAATATCTGAATGATTTGTTTTAAATTACATTGACTTTTTTACGATCCGAGTCGTTTTGTTGCTACTTTCTGAGTTTGTAAGGACGCTAAAACGTTCTTCGGTTTAAGTAGTTTTTAACAATTTTCTCCTTATAGACGCAACAGATAGAAGTAAGATTATAAGTAGCGATCAAAAGCGCTGATTTTTCGCCGTAAGCCTACACCATCTTTCATTTTTCGAGAACTGTTGTGAATCGGGTATGGCCCTATTTGCATGCAGTTACTTAAACTAACTCTTTAAAAAAACTGACTCCATTTAAAAGTTTTTCAGAGGAGCAATGAGGTAGATATCATCGTTTTCTGTTTTTCATAATAACTTCTGTCACTTTAACAGGGAAACTGTATTTGTAAATAATGAATTGATATCTTCTTAATTTTACAGGAGTCCTTTATAAATCTGGCATGCAGGTTTCTTAATGCAGGGTCACTTTTAATTATGTCGACAATCCCTTAAAACTGTTCTATTTCAGGAGATGACCAACCTAAAATGTGTTTTCTGGTGTGCTTTTCAAACCAAGGGTTCTCAACCTTCAGACCACAAATAAACATGGATTTGGAGAACAAATCTGTTAAACGGAAAATCTATGAAAAGTCTATCTTTTGTTTAAGTTGCTCATTGTTAAATAATATTGAGGTTTCTCTGATAGAAAGTTAATAATTTTGTTAACTGTTCAAGCATGATTAGTTTAAAATACCATTACCTTATTTCTTGTATGAAGGGCAGACATAAAGGAATTCTGAAAAGGGGGCGGGGAAATAACAACTGCCCCCTCCCCCTCAGGGCCTTCCATTAAATTTTGGTGCAAAAGTTCGAATAAAAGTTGTCCTGTTTTATTTAAGTCTTTAAATCGACATTTTGAGATCCCAAGTTTGACTCTTTTCCGATATGTCCATTGTACAATGTAAGCAGTACATGGATACCTGAATTTAAAAAAAAATCATGATTTGAGGTTGTTTAAAACAGCTCTTAAAAAAAATATTGAAACATGTTCTATATGTTTATCTAAAGCTTTTGAATAAAGTATAGTATTTTTAAAATTAAAAACATTATGTCTTGTTATTCATCATTTAGTAGATACTATGTATTATTTTCTGCTGTTATTAAAGTTCTATTGTTATTTGCTTTAACACTGTTGTTAAACAAACTTTAAATAAAATACTTTTAATTATAAAGTAAAAATGTTTTCTTATTTATAAATCTAAAATATATAAAATGTTTACTTCTCTATAATTGTATAATAAAAATACCGCGTAAAGCGTCAGGGGAATTTCAATCATTATCCCTTCGAAGAGTTAAATGCAGGATTCACAACAGTGACCTTTCTAACCTTTATCCGAGTATAATAACTAACAGTGAGTAAGATATTTTCGATTTTTTCTATCTTACATTTATTATTTATAGTTATTAATTTCCAGAAAGAAAACTAGTATTATCTTTATTATTCATGTTCTCATACAGGAATCAAAGATAACGTCGAGGGCCACTATGTCATCAGTTCCTTAATATCTCATGTTTATTGGTACTCCCTGTAGGTGATACTGTGACAAGGTTTGACAGACAACACTGCGGACAGATATCCTACTATTCCAATATTAATCCAGCTCTAGGAGACATTAGACCTGCATAATCTCATATTTAAGTCTGTCCTATTCTACAGGGAATAGATGAGAACACATCATAGGTTTAACATTCTTATCAACGGTAATTATCTATCCTGTATCCTTACATCGTTTATCCAGTATCCACGTATCCTGTATCCTTACATTCTTTATCCATTATCCACGTATCCAGTATCCTTTATATTTTATCTCCGTATCTATTATACTGGTTAATTAATCCGGCTGAAGATCTAGTCCTATAACGCAGTGCAGATAAATTTTACGAAAGGTTTGGCAAGAAATATAAAAGATTAAGAATGAGAAGAAGAAGATGTAAAATTTGGATTCTATTCAACTAAACACTCCAGATCCTTCAGCAGAACTACTGCAGATAGACCAGGCAAAAAGAAGATCAGGATAATCAACTCCCCCCCACCCCCACCCCCTTCATTCTAAAATGAATAAAAGTTAACTATCGAATGGTTAAGTGATGCCAAATTTAAAATTTGGCTGATTTGCAAAAATGATACCTTATAATGCGCATAAATATAATATATATATAATATGAAATGAGGATAAAGGGAGGAGAAAGTAATAAGGGTTATAAAGTAAAGGATAGGGACAAGTTAATAGGGAGAAGGATGGTGGGTAGAGGGAAGGAGCATGGTTAGGGATAAGAGGGTGAAAGGGGTATATATAAGGCCTGGATACGGAAACCAGACAAGAGGTGTAGATGGATAAGGGACAGAAGGAGGTAGCTAGGGGGTGATAAGGGAAAGGAGGTGGCAGGGGGTTTGGATAAAGGACAGGAGAAGGACAGGGTGTTTAGATGAGGGACAAGAGGGGAGAGGGGTGTTTAGATTAGGAACGGGTTGGGGTGGAGCGGGGTTGTATGAATGAGGGACAGGAGTGTGGGCTCATACGGATGAGGGACAGAAGGGGNTCCGGATCCGGATTCGGTTCCATATAATACCGGTTTCGGGTCCGGAAAACTTTAAAAGCGGATTTTTTTCCTGTCTTACAATAAAAACAAGCTGTGAATAAATTGAGAAAAGATATTATTTGAAATTATTAAAAAAGAGACGAATACGGTCAGAAATTGCAGAGTTATTGACAATGTCGTGTATATACCTTCTATTGATGACGGATAAAGGTTGACAAATGCTAGGCGAAGCAGGATAATTCAATATTGTGTCAGTAGGTGTCACTTGTTTCAATTCTAGGTTCAAACTTCTCAAGTATACCAGAGAACTTTTCCAACAATAATAATAGGTTAGAATATTTATTTACAGGGTGGGTCTAAAATACAGTAGTAACCTTAGTTTTCAACCTGTTTCAGTGGTGCAAACAAACACCTTAATGATGTATCAACAAATTGTTTGTTCCGTTAAACAATCAAGGATTTCGGAAACCTTATTTGTAAATACTATTTACAAATTGATTTAAAATTAAGGCATTACTACTGATTTTTTATAACTTTGTGTTTATGTTAAATTTTTCAATCAATAGATGGGATAAAAACACGAGTTCTGGGTTCCAATAATCAGACCTTGCAAGCTTCAGGAGAGGTAACCAATACCAATCATCTTCTAGTACTAAAGTTACTTAATCCGCATTCTGTTCTCGTCCCCGGAAACTCATAGTATGCCCTACACAGATCTGGTTCCTTATTCCCTATCTCCAAGTTCATGTTCCTCTTCTCCGTTCTAGTTCTTCTATTCCTATTCCTGGTTCCTTTTCTCCGTTCTAGTTCTTCTATTACTAGTCCTTGTTCCTCCTCTTTGTTCTAGTTCTTCTATTCCTATTCCTGGTTCCTTTTCTACGTTCTACTTCTTCTATTCCTATTCCTGGTTCCTCTTCTCCGTTCTACTTCTTCTATTCCATATACAGGGTGTCCCACGAAACATGAGGTGTTTAGATGAGGGACAGGAGGGGGGGGGGTGTATGGATGAGGGACTGCGGATCTACGTGTTTAGTTTTCTTTACATATATATATATTCCAGTAGATGAGAGAACACAGATCAAACAACATCAAACAGAAAAACAAACTAAACACAATTAGGAATAAAAATAAAATATTTGAAATAACAACCACAATCTTTTCCAAATAGAGAATCGACATTTACCCCTTTTCTAACCTTTAACAAACTTTTAAACATGTGAACATTTTGAAACTTGAAACCTGAATATTTCACACACCTTTATTTAAACATGTGAACATTTTGAAACTTGAAACCTGAATATTTCACACACCTTTATTTAAACATGTGAACATTTGGAAACTTTAAACCTGAATATTTCACACACCTTTATTTAAACATGTGAACATTTGGAAACTTTAAACCTGAATATTTCACACACCTTTATTTAAACATGTGAACATTTGGAAACTTGAAACCTGAATATTTCACACATCTTAATTTAATTTAATTTAATTTAAGTAATCTTAAATCAAATAGGGTTCATTTAAGGTCGCAATCAAGAAGCACAGTCTAAAAAAAAAAAAAAATTGAATAGAAAAAGAATTTATCTTGGTAAAATTACAGGTAAACTGTACCGGTAGCAAAGAAGAGGGAAAAAAATAAAAAGAAAAAAAGGACAAAGGGAGAAAAAAGAATGAAAAAAGTACAAACACAAAAGGACAACAAAAAGAGGAAAAACAGGAAAAAAATACAAAGAAAAGAAAAAAGGACAACAAAAAGGAAGATAAGAAAAAAGTACGGAACAGAAAATGAGGACAACAAATAGAAGGAAAAAATTAAAAAGAAAAGAAAAAATAGGACAGCCAAGAGAGGAAGAAGAGAGAAAAAAGGACAACAAAGAAGGGAGAACAAGAAAAAATAGTGCAATAAAAAGAAAAAAAGGACAACAATGAGAGGAAGAAGAGAAAAAAAGTACAAAGAAAAGAAAAAATAACAACAAAAAAAAAGAAAGAGGAAAAATAGTGCAATGAAAAGAAAAAAGGACTACAAAGAATGGAAGAATAGGAAAAAATAGTGCAAAGAGCTAAAGAGAATATCTCAGCAACATCTTAAATGTTATTAAAAATAAATGCATTTTGATTAGTTGGTTTTTCAAACCGATCTTTTTTTAAATTATCAGAATCTGATTTTTGTTTTATTCATACTCCTTTATTGGTTAAAAGATAAAACATATTTTGAATTTAACTATTTTTGCAGAGTTAGAAATGAGCGGAACCAAGACCTGTGTGGTAATCTGTAACCATTGCAGTAACGAGGTAAAGCTGAACTTTTTCATAACAAAGAAATTTCAATTCATGAAACTGTTTTTTACCTGTCTCGTAATCGTTAAAACAGGAAGCAATTAACTAAATATTTTTAAATCTAATAATTTGATAGCATTGATATTTATGCATTCCAAAGAACCAGGCAAAAATGAAAAAAATGTCTGCATATTGTAACAAAAATAAATATTTTTAATTTAAAAAAAAAAGATTCCACTTAATTTTTTAATCTTTTCATCTATTGATTTTGGCTGCACGTTGGTTTTTCCTTTTATATTATCAAGTTTAAAGATTTAGTTGCTTAAATTTTTAAATATTTAGTTTTAATTCAGTATCCGGATCCGGATTCGGTTCCATATAATACCGGTTTCGGGTCCGGAAAACTTTAAAAGCGGATTTTTTTCCTGTCTTACAATAAAAACAAGCTGTGAATAAATTGAGAAAAGATATTATTTGAAATTATTAAAAAAGAGACGAATACGGTCAGAAATTGCAGAGTTATTGACAATGTCGTGTATATACCTTCTATTGATGACGGATAAAGGTTGACAAATGCTAGGCGAAGCAGGATAATTCAATATTGTGTCAGTAGGTGTCACTTGTTTCAATTCTAGGTTCAAACTTCTCAAGTATACCAGAGAACTTTTCCAACAATAATAATAGGTTAGAATATTTATTTACAGGGTGGGTCTAAAATACAGTAGTAACCTTAGTTTTCAACCTGTTTCAGTGGTGCAAACAAACACCTTAATGATGTATCAACAAATTGTTTGTTCCGTTAAACAATCAAGGATTTCGGAAACCTTATTTGTAAATACTATTTACAAATTGATTTAAAATTAAGGCATTACTACTGATTTTTTATAACTTTGTGTTTATGTTAAATTTTTCAATCAATAGATGGGATAAAAACACGAGTTCTGGGTTCCAATAATCAGACCTTGCAAGCTTCAGGAGAGGTAACCAATACCAATCATCTTCTAGTACTAAAGTTACTTAATCCGCATTCTGTTCTCGTCCCCGGAAACTCATAGTATGCCCTACACAGATCTGGTTCCTTATTCCCTATCTCCAAGTTCATGTTCCTCTTCTCCGTTCTAGTTCTTCTATTCCTATTCCTGGTTCCTTTTCTCCGTTCTAGTTCTTCTATTACTAGTCCTTGTTCCTCCTCTTTGTTCTAGTTCTTCTATTCCTATTCCTGGTTCCTTTTCTACGTTCTACTTCTTCTATTCCTATTCCTGGTTCCTCTTCTCCGTTCTACTTCTTCTATTCCATATACAGGGTGTCCCACGAAACATGACAATTAATGTATGATTGTGAATGTCTTCTTCCATATAATTGTTAAGTTGTGTGATACCATAAAACATATTATAAAACATTACGAGGCATTTATACTAGAGGAAAGTTGATTTCAAAACAATTAAAATATATTTTGGATTGACAGATATTTTAATTTAAAAAGGCTCCATCAACAAATATGAAATCGAAATACACTGGGTATTTACAGTACATTTATAACGTACAACAATACTCAAAATTTGAAAGCATGTTTTTTTTCACTTGCAGCATGGCAGCTAGACAAACAAGATTTCTTATCAGAGAAAAAGTTTTTATTGTAGTCCTGGTTCCTCTTCTCCGTTCTAGTTCTTATATTTCTAGTCCTGGTTCCCCTTCTCCGTTCTAGCTCTTCTATTTCTAGTCCTGGATCCTCTTCTCCGTTCTAGTTCTTCTATTTCTAGTCCTGGTTCCTCTTCTCCGTTCTAGTTCTTCTCTTCTTAGTCCTGGTTCCTCTTCTCCGTTCTAGTTCTTCTATTCCTAGTCCTGGTTCCTCTTCTCCGTTCTAGCTCTTCTATTTCTAGTCCTGGTTCCTCTTCTCTGTTCTAGTTCTTATACTCCTATTCCTGGTTCCTCTATACTTCTATCCTGGTCCAAAATTCTAATATCTTACTGAATATTCTCCGAAGGTATTGGATGACTTGAACCTAGCTCCGGGGGAGGTTGAACGAGAAAAGAGCAAGGTAATAGAGATGGGCCAATTTTTCTTTTAAGCATTCGGCTTTTAAGAGGCTTCGCAGAAGTCTAAGAAGTTATCCATAATTAAAAATTGCTTGCATGTTTGTTAATGAACGTTTGCCGTTCAGACTTGTATCTTCTGTCAGAGTTTTTAAAAAAAGCAATTTCGTAGACAAGAAAAATTTTAATTTTTATAGACTTGCAGTTTTTAAGTGAACCTCCTAAAAAAACAAATAAAAATACTGAATGTGTAAAGGCGTAATTTTAACTGATCTTTGATTTATAGAGTGGCATATCTGATTCACATCTGCACGCTCAAATTCTTTGTCTGATAAAGAATAAATTAGAAATCCATATTTATAATTTTGAAAACTGATATTTTCCTTTGTTGTTTCTCTGCAATTGTGACTTGTACATTTTTTTGCAGGAAAACAACGTAGGAATTTTCAAAGTTAAAAAATGTTCAAGGGGAAAAACTATGTTATCTTCCACATTATAGATTATATAAAGGTTTGAGGGGTACAGTTGTGAATCGGGAATATCCCTCTCTAAACGGAGAGTCGCTTGAAATTACACCGAAGACAGTCCTTTTCAAAATAAAAAAACGATTCCCAGGTCTACAAGGTAACACACACAATTCTCCCCTTGTTGACAGAACAGGATAAATACATGCAGTAATTCACAAAACATACGATGGTGCCAAATATATAAAATAAAGCTCTTTGGTTGCATATATATATATATATATATATATATATATATGTTCTCTTCATCAGGCCAAACGGCTGGACCAAATTGGCTGATATTTTTGGATGGAACTCATTGGGTAACAAAGGCTAAAATTTTTGGAAATTTTTAAAATTCCACGGGCAACATCGAACACTTCAGTTTGAATCATGATTTGTTACCAAGCGCGGGTAAACGGCGGTAGTAACTATTTGTGATAATGCAAAGCTGGGCAACACCGGGTTGTCCAGCTTGTCTAGTCAATAATATGTTCTATGTTGACTTTAATTCTTTTTTTTGACTAGGATTGCATTTCCGGCTTAAACTTTATAGGATTACAAATTACACCATTTTTCTAGAATATCTAAAATTTATTTACAATTTCAAGTAAAACATGAAATAAAACTTTGAATTCTCTTTTTCTAAATAATTTCTTTCTATTTTAAGACTCCTGAAGAAGAAGCACAGATAAAGGCTAAAAAACAGTTCGAAGAGGATGTCAGGGTAAAAAATTTTCTAATCCTTACCTTTGCAATCTAAACCTAAATTATTGATAGAACAGAATTCATAGTTTGACTTACCAAAGGTCTACATCATGATTCATGGGTTTGCAAACATAAGAGTGATTTAAAAATCAGAGTTTCTGGCAAAACAAAATTTTAATAACGTCGGACACCAGTCACCACTTTCATTTGAATCATGTCTTATCATATTATTTCTTGGTGGATTTAAAAGTTTATATTGTGGATATCGAGTTGAGTTGCAGATACCATCCAAAAGTTTTAGCCTCTGTTTCTATATTTAGGTTTACATAGCTATGGGGATAATAGTGGCAATGGCCGTTATTATAACCCTGGTTAAGATATACGTAGTTCAGAATATGGAACCTAAAGATCCAAGGTAATTATATAGAAACTTAATAAACTTTCATAATTAATTCATGTTGGTGACTGTTGGCGTGATTTAAGGTGGCTATACAAAAATAAAAAGAGTGGCATGCCTGATTGACAATAGTACCGTTTTAACCTCTATCTGAGGATCGAACAATAGGAAGATATCGTCGTTCTTCTCTGAAAACAAGTTGAATTCTGACAATTTCCTTCAATATCTCAGCAGCATATCTCAGCAACCACGTTTAAAGAGAAACTACATAAAAAAAAATTAAGTTTCGCCATAGTAATAAGGACAACTCATTCAACCTTGACTTGGGTTTCCAACGAAAAGGGTAAATCGTTTCGCCAAAATTTCGCCTTTTTTCAATTTAATCTGTTTCGCAAAAAAATGCAAAATTTTCGCGCAATAGGAAAATTTCGCGAAAAAACAAATGCAAAAATTCGGGGGGATATTATTAATTATGATATAATAAAACTTCTAATGCTGAGCTCTCAGAGCAGATATAATTCCACAAGTTGTTGCAGCTATGGTTTTCGCGGATTTTTTTTCGCAAAAAAATTACCGAGATATTCGTATCGTTTTCGCAAAAAGTTTGCAAAAAACGAAATAACATTTTCGCATTTTTTTTGCGAAAGTCTTAGTTCGCTGGAAACCCTAGCCTTGACCAGACAAATGTTTTAAAGGGTATAGTAAATCGGACATACCATTTTAAAGTGGAGGGTCAAGGTCAACTGAAAGTTGTATTTTAAAGTGGTGGGTCAAGGTCAGCTAAAAGTTTTTCGACAAGATATGAATTGCTGGTATATTCCTTGTGATGCAACTCCTTCGATCGTGTCGTAGAGAAATAAAAATAAAAAATGCGCCATGAAGTTACAGAACTTTTGTGCTGTTGATCTCGGGATCAAGCATTGATCTCCATCTTGGGTAGACCTACGGATAAAGTTAATTCCTTTTCGATAATCTGTGGTGGTTATATCCTTAAATCAAGATCCCATTTTGGGTATCAATATCAAGCGTTTTAAGAATAAACACAAAAACTCCGACCTCAGAATTTACGGAGGGGGAACATTAGATCTTAGGTCTTGTAGATATGTAAGTACCTTTAAAATGTTACTGTCACTGTAAATAGTAATAAAAAACAAAAATATGTTTTCTTTATAATTTATAATATTAATCTTTTCTTAGGAATTCCGGGGTCTTTGTCTTTATTTCCTATTATTGTTTACAATAAAACTATTTCTTAACCTGTCTTTATAATATTATATTAATAATGAAAATAAGAATTGTATCGTTGTAATACTAGTTTAATAATATTAAAATAATAATAATAATATTAATAATAATATTAATACAATAATAATAATAACAAAAATAAATGTAAAATGTTTACAAATGAAAAATTGTTTGTTCAGTCCCACCTTTAAGCCCCTGCAACAGATGATAAAATCCAACTATAGATATAACGGGAATGGATATCTTCCTTGCAATGGGTAGGTAATTAGTGGTGCAACTGGAAATTTTTTTTTTTTTTTGGGGGGGGGATAGTGAATTCTTCAATTGAGCCTTTGCCATAAACTTTTATTTTCTAATCCCTATATCTTTGCAATCCAAGACCTTAAATGTTTTCAACTATGAATTCTGTTAGATCAAATAACTTAAGTTTGAGATATCACGATCAGGTTACACAGATAGAAGTGATTAGAAATTAGAAATTTAATATTAAACTTAATCGACATGTTCAGTTAAATACACCCTACAGGGTTACCCACAAAAGATGAGACTTCAGAGACAAATGTGCGAAACAATTATACTGCCTGTTGAGTGTTGCCTTTTACTCATGATTCTCTTCTCTTTCTTTGCCAGTAAAAGAATCTATTTAAGACAGAAGACTTAATTTAACCTTGGAATCGTCATATGTTACAAGGTTTAGGTCGTCTTTACAGTCTCATCCTTTACTGGTAACCCTCTGGTATGAAAGGGTTAAAAGGCATAAAATTAGAGAAGCGTGGAGGAAAACACCTAATCTTGAATATTTAAAGTTAAGATTCGAATGAAGAGAGATCGGACTGAGATTAAATTGAGGATATCAAGACTAATGAGAGAACTGTAGAGTTGCTGTCCTTGCAGTATTAACCAGAAAACTCTAGACTAGGAAGAAGACATTAAAGCAATACTGAAGTGCATTTGATGTTAAATTGGTCTGTTTTCACTGCACAGTTGGCATGTCTCATGTTCATTGGCCTAATTAAAGATACATTGAGTCTGAAATTCAACTTCCTATTTCAGAGTTTTCTGGTTTTCATTGTAGAGTAGAATAGGATTTTTTAAAAGAACTGAGTTTTTGCCGCAAACTCCGATTTTCTAATCCCTACATGTTTGCAACACAATGTCGTATAGAGTATAGACCTTAGATATTTCAAACTATGACTGCTGCTCGACCAAATAATCTGGTTTGAAATATCAACGATTTCCCGCATCAATTGTTGCAAAGATATAGGGATTATAAAACTTGATATTGAGGCTCAAACTCGGTAGCATTTTACCAGGACCTAAATAAAATTGTACGTAAGATTTCAATCTTAAATGTTTTTAATCATAACTCTTCAGCTTCTTACTAAAGAGCTGTTAAAAAGAAATGTTTTGAATTTCTAATACGTAAACCGATAAATTTGCTTTCATCAAATTCGTAGGTAAAATCAAAACTAATGGAGGTTCGGGGCCACACAGTCGTTCCAATGCAGTAAAATCGCAAAAATTTAACCTTTTCTAGTTAATTGTGAGACTGTTGACATACAGGGTGTCCCAATAAACAAGGGAATTGAGTGACGAATTCAAGATCGTTACTAATAAGAATATGCATTGTAATACCTGATTTTATCAGCAAGAATCTGATTAGGTCGGCTAGAGTTTATTTTATGAAAACGGGAAATGGTTTCGTGTCTGTAATCTCTCGTGAAAGATAAAAAATAAAGACGGGCATGTTTCATGTGTTTGTATACTGTAGTCTTCTTGGTTTACTTAGAAGGTACAACTCGTACGACCGGATGAAGTCAGAACGTAAACCAAATTTTAAAGAAAGCAGACGAAGACGGATTCCAGCTTTCTCCGTAGGCATTACTATACAAATCAAAGATGTATCTATAAAGACGATATCGAAATATTTTCCCATGTTTTATGGGACACCCTGTACTTTCAAGTCTTCCTCTAGATGAGTGATGCATGATTAAGGACTTTCATCAACTGCAGTGTAGAAGATTTCGTTCTTCTTTATTTCAGCTTATCTCTTAAGAAGAGAAAACTATTGAAAATAATGAATTTGCCAAAACTTGGTTATCTCAATACATTTTATCAAGGCAAAGCTAGCTTCCAAGTGTACCGCTGCGAATCCAATATGGCATTTCATGATTGGAGGGTAAATAAATATATGTTTATTGTTTAAACTCTCTTTCAAAGCCGAAAACAAAATTTCTGTTCAATAATATTTGTTTAGGAATGTTCCTTGCCAACCTGCCCATCTGTCCCCTGAGAGGAACGCAGAGAGAATGGAAGGAGCAATGTCCTAATTCAGAAATAAATATTTAAACATGTATTATTCATTTTAAGACGGAGACAGTAGTAATAAATTGTGGCAAGAAGACTTCTTAATAATCAAAAACTCGATCCATATATTTAACAAACAGAATTTTTAAGCTAGAAAAAATCACAACAGAAGAGAATTATATCAAACGAAATTTGAAACGGCTTAAAATCCTTCGCAAAAATATATTTTAGAGAGGAAAAAAAGTCAAAAAAAATGTACGCCTGATCTTTTCACTGTTAGTTATCTTAAAAATAATATATCTAAATAAAATCTATATTTAACACTGGTGTACTTGATAATGTCTAGTCAATGTGAAACAACAAATGGTGGAAAATAACTAAATACACTTTGCAACAATGAATACTGTATAAATAGAATAAAAATATTTACATTAAATTATATAAAACTTTGTGCAAATTACAGAAAAAAATGTCGAGGGGCAAAATTTAATTCTCAGGCAAATCACGCCACTTTGTTTATCTGACAACTTAACGCAAATACATTTTATAATAAGAAGAAGGCGCAATATGATATCACACATATGTTGCAATTGCAAATTGTAAAATCAAATGTTGGTATTCGATTAATTTAATTGACCAGTTTAAATGCCGATTCTTTTTTGGATAAACAGTGCGTACAACAGAAGAGTCTTAAGCTTTCTGCGACACCTCCTGAGCCCAGTGTGTTCTACAGAACTACTGGAGAATTCCGAGTTTCCTGAGAAACCTCCTGAACCAAGTGTGTTCTACAGAACTACTGGTGAGTTCCACGCTGTGTGCCACATAACTACTGAAGAATTCCGAGTTTCCTGAGACAACTCCTGAACCCAGTGTGTTCTACAGGACTACTGGAGAGTTCCAACGCTGTGTTCAACAAAACTACTGGAGCATTCCAAGTTTCCTGAGAAGCCTCCTGAACCAGGGAGAGCTGGACATCCCAACCAGGAGAAGAAGACCTCCGTAGCCCAGAAGAAGGACAAGAAGTCGGTTGTTGTAAATCCAGTTGGAAAACCTGTTTCTGTACAGCACGCTTTGTACGGCTAATCCAGTCTCGTTTCCGTACACGAACAGGTATCTGAACACAATTGAATTCTTTTCAATCAAAATTAAGGTTACATTCCCAATATCTTCGACAACAATGTGCATCCTTATCATCAAACAAATACAGAAATGTTATTTAATGTTAAGTATCGAAGACCCGGATTTAAAAGAAAAAATTAAAAATCGTAAATTCTAAGAGGTTGTTCAAGGGGGTCTTCTCGAAAAATCAGGCTGAATCGCTACAAATTTTACCATTAGCGATCAAATTACTTTTTCTGGATTAAGTCTGACCCCCACATTTTCATTTTTCCCGAACATTCCCTTTAAACCCTTTACGTTAAACCCAAAAAGCTTAATAAGTTACCTGATATGAATAAGCTGGTTATCCCTGACTAGAATATAGTTTTCAGGTATATTTCCTCCCTCACTACCCTCAACCCGACCCCTCGTTGCATCAGCACAGTGAATCTAGAAACATGTCAGCTATTAGTTTTCAAAGTAAGGACAACCACTTGAAGTAGAAATTCTATTTATTTTCTGAATATTCTATGATTATATTTTCTCTCTCTATTAAATAAAAAAAATACCATCATCTTAATACTGCATCAAGTATTGAAGAAGTTTTAATACAGCAATACGAAAATGATCTAAAGGTACTACTGACTTAATATCAAAGTAACCAAAGATCCTTCAGTTACTATTCACAGCGGTACCATTAAAACCTGTGTCTAGGTACCAATATGGAAGACACCAAGTCATCTGTACGAAGAAACCGCATTTGAAAGTTCTCAATTTTTTAGATGAACAATAAATCTCCCTATTTTGCTCAGTCAAAGGTTTAGAGGGTGCCGTTGTAAATCTGCCATGCAAATCATATAAAATCATATATATATTATATATACTTGGAAATTACGCCTGAAGTCCTTGTAAAGAAATTGTAATAGTAATTTCAAATGACCCTCAATGTCCGATTTACAACATGAAACTTGAAACCTTGATCTGATATAAAATGAGGAAATCGATAGAAGTTATTTTCAGTTAAATTCTCTATTGTTTCTTATTTGCAAGACTGCAAAAGTCACTTTTAAAGAGAAACCGTAAATGAAAATGAACAGTTTAAACAAAAACATGGATATATAATTCATACTTGGATCAGACTTTAAGCTTTTAAGGGTATCTTTGTGAATCGGTCATTGCCATCTTTGAATCTACTAACCTTAACACTAGGATGGTTTTTAATCCTGGCCACAGCTAGGCAGGATAAAGATGAACCAAGCATACTACCGTCCCAACCTATCCCCCGGGATATAAAGTTCAGGCTGACCCCCAGCTCACTGGACAGGTAGATACCCTCACCAAACAACGAGGTTTTAGCTCTGAAATAACTCAGTTTAGAGAACAATAAAAATCTAAATAACGTTGTAATCTGGTTATTTGTCCGATTTGCATTAAATTTTGATTAGGGAACTCGGGAGAACCACGGAAATGTTCTTAGCTTAGTTTTGAGATTCTTAATTGAGTGGGTTTACTTTTATAAATAAAATAAAAATAGCTAAAATCGCAATTTACGACCAAGCGCGGGTAAAATATTATTCAAACGAAATCATATTTTTTGGGACACTCCCTTTACAAATTTTTGGCATAAAATGTTACAGATTTTCTTTAATCTTTCAATCTCAGATGAAAGTCATCATAAAGGGTGATGAAAAAAAAACAACCACTTTACAATTTTATCTCTCACAGGCTTAATTAAAATACGATCATAATGAAATTCATATCACATTATCTCTAGGATGCTAGGACTACATTTTAAAACAATTTTCGGATTTGGTCAACCCTGCTCTGAATAAATGCTCTCTATTTCTAGGGGATGTAACTGATCAGCCTACCCGCAAAAAAACGTTTATAAAGCTAAAGGAGGTCAAAAACCGACTTAAAAATGACAAGGTATTCAATACAACCCTATAACTCTAAAAAGCTTCGTAAGTTCCAGATTACATGTTCAGAGTGGAAAACACTGCAACAAACCATTTCCAGGAAAATGCAGAGCCAGTTCCTTCACTTCTTCTTCAACAAGTAGAACAGCTGCCGGGGACCATTAATATAAGCTGATGGGACCATATTTCACTGCAAAAAGGAATTTACCTTACTATCTTAAATTGTTTCCTAATCCTTGAGTAAATCAATACTAACATAGTCCACAAGGACTCACCTTGCTGACAAGGCGAACCTGTAAACAGCCAAAGCAGCCAGCCTCATATGCTGTCAGCAATAGTTTAAATCAAACTTTGGTTTACACCTGACAATAACCACGAAGTCAAAAAATAATTGAGAATAATTTGGTCATGGCAAAAAAGAAGGTTGCCAGGAAGAAATGTGAAAATCTCTTATCATCTGAAGTAGTGTGCGAATAGGAAATCCCAGCCGGGCAGGGTGATCAACCCCTTTCCCAAGATATTAATAGCATTTATTTAGAGCAGGGTTGACGAAATCCTAAGGTTCTAGAGACACTGTGATGTAAGTTTCATTATAATCGGATAATAATTAAGCAGCTGTCAGAGAGAAAAGTGTTAAGTATTTTTTTTCCCAGACCGGCCTTTGATTAGCATTTTTTTCGATTTAAATTTGACCAGTTACGAGACTCCAGGTCAGAACGAAAAACTCGCAAAATTTCCATATCAGAGTAGAAATGAATAACAAATAATTAACATTTTTAAAATTCTGTTAATGCTAACCTATGCTGCTGAAGTCCATTGTGTAGAATACTAAACCAGTTATCCAACCTACTCCCGTGAAATCCATAGAAACTGTTTTCTTCTGTTGTATTAGACATCCAACTAGAAAATTTTTATTTATTATTTCTTCAAATGTTCACAACTTTAAGAACCTTAATTGTGATTTTGATCCGAATCCGAACACTTCGGGGGACTGTACGCTTAATTTCAAGTGACCCCTCATGCAAAGATGGCAATGCCCGATTCACAACGCTACCCCCAAAAAAAGCTTTGTCTGATCAAAACCTATTATTTGCAATTGTGGTTTCTCTACTTCAGTGGCTTGAGCATTTCTACTGCAAGAAAACATATAGGAATTATCAGAGTTAAACACTTTTAAACCTAGAAAACGACAATATCTTTCCATATTATTGATCAGAATAAGACTACGGTTGTGAATCGGACATTGCAATCTTTGGTCACTTGAAATAACGCTTCAAGTCCCTTCAATCATAATATAAAAAAAATTGTTCAAAAGCATGATTTAATTTGATAGTATAATTGATCAACATGTTTTACAAATCTCTCATTGGTCAAAAGTAATAAAAATCTATTTTTCTATTGTGGTTTCTCTATGAAAGTGAATCGAAAGTATCATTTTTTAAATGGAGGCGAGATTTTAAAATTGCGTTTCCTTTAAATACCAACCTGTCAGTGCTGATTGTTCTAACTTCAAATGCATGTGTTGGGAGAGATATCTGAGCTCCTGGTTTAACTCCAACCCGTCTCAAGGTCTCTATTCCCTCAACTTTGGTCATGGTTCGGAGCGACAGCTGTGACTGTCCCCCGTTGAATACCCAGGAAAGGAGGTTCAGCTGTTGATCAGACAGCTGACAGCTGTTTTGCTCTAGCTGTCGTTGAAGGCGATTAAGTGGCGGAATGGCGAGAAGAGCATCATGAACACCTATTTTTTTAATTTAAATTTTCTATACTTAATATACTATACTTGCATGTTTGTTTGATTGTGTCCAATAAAAGTCAAACGGGTAGAACTTTAACAGCAATACATAAATTTTGGATTATTTAAATTTAAAAAAAAAATTCTGGCAGAAAACGTCGAAATTTATCTATTTAAAAAATGCATGAATAGTTTTGTTTATAGAACGCAGGGAAATGGTGCCTTAAAGAGCAACAGCTAAAAGTTTAAAATTATTATTATTATTATTTGAAAGGCTAGGAAAGAAAAGAATAGATAATTACAAGCCAGACTAGAAAAACAAATTATTTAAACCGACCAAACAATATCTTTATAATATTTTAATGTAGTTTTGTAAGGTTTTCTATTGATCTTCATTTTATAAAAGGTGAAAAGTGTATTTTTCCAACTTCATTTATTTGTTATACCTTTAATATCCTTAGAACCAGTGTCATCTAAAAAGGCAGGAGGGAAAGGAGAAAGGACGGAATCATGTCTGAAGGATTTAGCAGCTCCGGAGAATAAACTGAAATTATTAAAGTATGTCTTTTACAGCTGTTTGAACAACAAGATTTCCCACAACAGAGGGATCTAAAATTACTGAACTGTCCCTTGGTATAATTAAATAACATTAACCCCCCTCTGCGAAGTTTTCGTGAAAAAAATCGCGAATTTTAATCTCACAAGACGATAAATATGTTATGTAGACAAATTTAGTCTTGGGAAGTAAAATTCCCTTAACTTCCATTTTAGGCAGTTAAATGTTAGATTTTAAATTCATCATCCCAAAAGATTACATACACATTACAAAATAATAATTATTTGTATGTGGAAAAACCTCTACCACCTTTTAACCAACATAACTGATCGAACAAAGGGACGTTACGTTACATAACCTCCCTTAGGGACAATAAAGCAAAATAACGCGTATTATTTTAATCTCAAAGGAGGTCTAATATGTGTACAAAAACTTTTTCGGGAATTTTAACACTTTACTTAACCACGGGATCCCTTTACTTCCATGTGATTGTGAAGTACAGGGGCGGACACAGGGGGGTGGCGGGGGGACATTCGCCACCCCCTGACAGATTCAGGGAGGGGCGTAGCCCAACCCCTGAGATTTCGAGGCAAAAAATGTTCCCAATTTGATAAATCGTATGTGTTTTTCAATTTTAAGCTATTTGATTATTTTTTATTTAATGGAAATATAATAATTAATATTTATTGAAAAATTGAATCATCAGAAGAGAAGGACGAAAAAAATATTACCCCCTCACTTAAATCCTGTGTCCGCCCTGGTGAAGTAGTTGAAAATAATAATTAAAGCATAAATATATTATAAAGAATGTTTGCCGAGCATGAAGACGATCTCACCTTAGTTTAACATCACATGAGAGAAGATCCATGGATAAATGTTGGATCAAGCTTTCTTCAATTTTTTTCCTATCCGTCAGACTGAAAATAAAACCTTAATCAGAAAAGTGGAAAAGTTCAATATGTTTCATAATCAAAAATTCATTCATTTTCCCTTATACTAACTTATTCTCAATCATTCAGTTATTTAAAACAATTTCTGAAATACCAGAGCGAACAAATATTGTCGAAAAAGTGGAAAAAAGATGATCGACAAAACGTAAATTGTAAATAATAATATGGAAAGTTTATATATTTGAAAGCGTTGTAGATTTTAAAGAATTACTCCTACCACCCACCTTCCCCGGGGGGATGGAGGAAATTATTTTAGAAGATCTTGGGAAAAAAGTTTCCTTTCGAAACTTCGGCGAAAACCCTCTGAACAAATTACATACCTTCGAGAAAAAATGTTTGTGGGGGGGGGGGGGAGAAAATGATTTTTTAAGAAAAGATAAAACCCTGATATTTTATTTCACTCACTTTCCAGCTCCAGACGAAGATTCTCTGTGAGAGTCACTTGACTGAAGGCTGACCGCAGGCACTGAATGCCGTGACCGTAGAAGAACCTCTGGTTCCGGGGGCGTGGTTAAATTAGTCACTGCTCCGCCCCCTTCAACAAACTCGTCACGGTCACTCATTTTTGTTCATCTGAAGGCTTAATAAATCATAATTAAAAATTGTAAAAATTAACAGGAAACAAAATTCATCATAAATATATATAAATAATACACTTACTATCACATTTTATCACACTTTTTTATACTTGTATCAAAAATTTATAAATATTATGAAGATTCCTGAGCTGAAAACTTTAGATATTGAGATTAATGCATGATCCTCTCTTTTTCTTAATATCGAGACTAACCTAATCTTGTACTTGTATCCTGAAAAGTGTATAAAATTCAAACAATCAGAGTCGCATATATGCAGCCGATAAATTAAAAATTTTGCGCGCCATTTAAGATTAATATACAGAAAAGGAAGGGACTCTCTAATTTTGATAAACCGGTTTTTGATTTTTCTCTTCTTTATCCAAGAAAGAACGATTTAAGAAGAAAATCAAGTGCGATATCTCATTCTAAAGTTTTCAACTCTGGTTCATTTGAATGAAAACATTTTTCTAAAATAAAATTATAAAATTTTCTAAAATGCTGGTTTTGGGTGTAAAAACTGTAGATATATGTTCAGCAGTAAATGTTAATCTTTTAGAAAGCCCCCCCCCCCCGGTTTCAATTTTTGCAGATTTTAGGGGCAAAGTTATAGTTTTTCCTTTTTCAACATACTTTTCAACTAGAAACTAACTTTATTTTCATTTTTCGTTTGAAATAACTAATTTTCAACGAATCTAAGAAAACACACAGACTGTGGAAAAAAAGGTTTTGAAGTGGGAGGAATGATGTCAACAAAAATATACCCCTATAATAATGGTTTAATTCTGCTAATCACTGAAGTCAATAAGTCCCTCACTCTCTAGTTTACTGACAAGTTTATCAGCCCTATTCTCCTCACTGGTCTGCCGAACCATGTCCAGCATATCCAGCAGCTTCTTCACACCAATATTACATCTTCTATCCCTGCACACACAATAGTTCAGGAATTAAAGAAAAGAACAAGAACCATAATTTTCCCAAATTTGAAGTTTCAAAATTATAATTATAATTCAAATTATAATTCCATGAAATGATAGAGATATCCTTTTTTTTGTAGTTAAAAAAATGGAGAGAAAATTTAATAAAAACCTTTATATTTTCATGACAAAAAATCGACGGTATAAATTTTTTGTAAAAAACAAAAAATATGTCTTTTTAACTCTTTGAAATTGTTAAATTTTTAAGGACTTTTTGTCTTATTGGGCTTACAAAAATGAAAGGACCTTATGAGTTTAATCATTTATTGACATAAAAGATATTTTGGTCTTTGAAAATGAAGAGAAATTTTGAACTTAAAAATATGAATGAAAGGACTTTTTAAGCAAGAACAAATAAAGGACTTTTTAACAAGACATAAGGTCTTGTTCAGCTTTATACAGGTATTAAAATAACTAATTTGGGTATTCAATTAAGAAGTAACATATGGTTTATTTAGCTTTATTTAGGTATTCAAATAACTTATTTAGATGCTTAAATAAAGAAATAACATTAGGTCTTATTTAGCTTTATATAGGTATTAAAAGAACCTATTTAGGTATTCAAATAACTTATTTAGGTATTCAAATAACTTATTTAGGTATTCAAATAACTTATTTAGATGTGTAAATAAAGAAATAACATGAGGTCTTATTTAGCTTTATTTAGGTATTAAAAGAACCTATTTAGGTATTCAAATAACTTATTTAGGTATTCAAATAACTTATTTAGATGTTTAAATAAAGAAATAACACGAGGTCTTCTTTAGCTTTATTTAGGTATTCAAATAATTTATTTAGGCATTCAAATAACTTATTTAGATGTTTAAATAAAGAAATAACACGAGGTCTTATTTAGCTTTATTTAGGTATTCAAATAATTTATTTAGGTATTCAAATAAAGGTTTAACGGGTACAATTGTGAATCGGGCATTGAAATATGGGTTCACTTGAAATTACACTGACAACCCCTTTCAACTTAATGGAATTCAATATGGCTCTTTCCATTAATCTAATTATCAAATTATATTTGCAATTCAATTCAATTTTTTGCCATTAACTAAATTCTATATTGTCTGTAGCTCCTATTCCAATACTAAAAATTTAACATGAAACTTGAACTTTAGAATGTACCTGAGATGTTTCTCTATGCTTTGTAGACCCTGAGCTGATACAGCCCCGGACTCACGAACCACGTGAAGAACCTGCTCCCCTAGATGCAGATTGGGCAGGTGAAGTACATCAGTGAAGGCGGGAAGCATCTCCATTTGATCAAGGACCTCACGTCTACTACTCGTTGCTATTATCAGAAGTCGCTTACCCTGCAATTATAAGAGGATTAAAAAAATCAAGCATTTAAATAATTGAATTTCTATAATTAATCACATAGGATAAACATGATTGTATTCAATAATAATATGTAATGTATACATATAATGGTGTCAAAAAAATCAATTGATCAATATCAACGTGCGGGCACTTTTCCCCCATTCTCGTAGGCCCCCGAGTTCAAATCTAGCATTTAAAAGTTTGTGAGACATCAAAGTTAGGTACATGTAAAGGGTCAATTAGATTAGATAGTTTATAGCTCAGGAAGCAGTTCAAAGCTAAGAGGTCGCTTTAAAAACTGGTTTGTACACTAAGCATATTACTATTCAATATTCTGAAGTTTTATTTTGATTTTTTTTTTGCAGATTGCTGAACTTACCGAGATGTAATATAAAAACAAGAAAAATTTCACGAAATTCACGTAAAATCCAAATTTTCATATTTTACATTTTTTAGTTGTCTCTGAGACTTCTACTACTATATTTGGACTACGGGAACCTAGGAGAACGGGGAAAACCTGTCCACATAAAAAGTTATGTATTTTGAGACATCCTAATACATAGAACTCAAGAAAATAAATAAGCCAACAAATCTAATGCACCAATTCATCCAAACCAGTGCTTAAGATTCATTCTATTTCGATGCGTATCCATCAAATTGTCTCGAAATGTCAAATTTAATATTTCTCTAAACAGTTGAAATATAGAATTACCGCGGGTGGAAGTTTCTTGAGTAGAACTAGAAGAGCCTGAAGCGTAATATTTGAATATCTTGGTCCAATAGGACCATAGTCCAGTAACCTTTCTATATTATCTACCAGGATACAGGACATGCTCGACCTATACGCGTCCTCAAACACCTTCTTGATCCGGAGACACTTGGCGGACTCCGTGAACCCGACCATGTCCTCCGGACTGCAGATCTTGATAAACGGGAACCCAGATTCCTTGGCTAGGGTAGCGGCCAGAGCTGTCTTCCCTAAATATTTTATAAATATTAACATGATCTAATTTGGTCGTATTACTTAGTCATTTACTGAAAGGTCGGACTTGACGGGATTGACGACGTATTTCCATGTAGCCAAACAATTAATGAGTTATATTATATGACAGATTTACAGTGGTAGCTTCTAAAGGGACTAACAAGCTTTATTTCAAGTGACTCTCCATACAAAGATGAAGATGTCCGATTCACAACGGTACCCTTTAAACCATTATCTGATCAATAATGTGGAAGATTCACTTTTTTAAAGAACCCACAATTGAAAATAATCAGTTTTCAAAATTATAAACATACATATCTAATTCATACTTGTATCAGACAAAGCTTTTTAGGGTACCGTTGTGCATCGGGCATTGTCATCTTTGCATGGAGGATCTAACTTTTAACCTTTGTTCGACCATTGAGCAAAAATTTAAAGAAATATATCTAAAAGTAAATACTTTACCATTTAAGGTTATAGCAAAAGAGACAAGGAAATGGACAGAATTAATCTGGGTACCATTATGAATCGTGCATTGAATCACTTTTTAAATAAAAGGCCACTTGAAACTAGTTACGTTAAAGATCTAAATTTCAGAAAAGAAACAAATCTGAGTTTCTACCTGAGTTTGGAGCTCCTTCTATAAGAATACTAACTAGTCCAGGACCATGCTGACTAGCAGCTTGTTGAACCAGTAGCTTAGCATCATCTAGTAAACCTTGAACCTCGTCACCCCACATCATCACACCCCTAAACAAACATATGAATACGATATATAGTAAAATATTGTTTTGGGGACAGTTTACTTCTGGTTTCTAAACATTCAGAGTTATTAGTTCCAAGTTTGCTTTTATTACACTATATATAACATCTTTCACGTAAAAAAACTTGCTAAATACCTTGTATGAAAATTGAAACACAATTTCCAACTATAGTAAAATTTATTTCGAGAACACGCTCGAGATGAAACATCAAAAACCTTATAAAAATACTTTGAAGAAAACGCCTTTAAACAAAAATACCTTATCGAAGAAAAATTGCAAGAAAATTTGTCCTAACTATTATCAATAAAAAAAGTTCAAATAACTGACCTAGAGACCATTCCCTCCAGTAGCTCCTGTGCTGACCCGAAAGCTGGTTTTATATCGTTCTCTAGAGCATGCATAAAATCTGCGCGGCAAACAGATAATTTTTCCGCTGCTGCACTATCGACTTCAACCTTAATGGAAGAAGTTTCATATCTCTAATGGCCACAGTAATTCCCATCCTCTTGTTTCGACTTAAAAGTTTATATCTGCTCAAAATCCATAATCCACCATGGACCGAATTCAATAAACTATTTGCTAGGTTGCTAACTACCTACCTCCAGTTCAGATCATGAATCACTGATTCAAAGTTAAAGGTTGAGGAATATTTTAATCGGGGATTCAGGATTTGAACCAGCCGCGGCCGTAGGTAGTTCAGCGACCTCTCCGATTCCTTGAAATCAGTCCCTGGCTATTTTATTGTCAGGAGGACAGCTATTAAGAAATAAAAAAATGATGAGTCTAGAATGAGAGGTAAAAATATGCCTCAGCCCCTGATGAATTGATCAAATGAAATATCGAAGACATATTTCTTATATGTTGCACACGTCTTCTTGAGTAAAGTAGCTCGCTTACCTTAGATGATGCTCTGACCAGCCTATTAAGCGCACATGACTGCGCTGCCCTCACTAAACCTTCAATCTCAGCGCCAGAGAAGTTCTTAGTGACCTTCGATAGTTCCAGAAGATCAACATCGGCCGCTAGCTTCTCATTCTTCCGCATAGTTCCGGTGTGGATGTTAAGGATCTCCAACCGGCCGTCCTCCTTGGGTAGTCCTATCTCCACCTGGACCTCCAGACGACCGGGACGAAGGAGAGCGTCGTCAATCATATCCTTTCTGTTTGTCATTCCTAACCAAGAGAGAAACTAATCAAATTGAAATCGGACAGAAAGAAATTTATTACTCGTTTCAAACTCAATCTATCTTACAACCTCTTGGAAAAAAACCTTAATATTCCTAACAATAAACTTTTGATCCAGCAAAATTTCTAGCTTGAAATAGCAAAGATTTTAAAGATAGGGATTAAACAATTAGGAGTTTGAGTGGAGTAAGAGAAATCAATTTCTTTATAAATTTAATTGAACTAACTACTAAAACTAACAACTTGTCTAAATGCTAAGCTACTTATGCATAACAGACAAGAAGTTTAAGAACCGAAAAAATACCTTGATACATCCTGTTTGTCATGCTGTAAATTTAATATTATTATTATTTCATTTCAAGTTTTCTTAAAGAATGTTTATAAAGTTATAAGCAGTTGAATGCATTTAAAAAAAGAATTGTTTGAACACTAATTTGACGGCACAGACACAGCATTTTGAGATTTGTTGACGACCAATTTGCTAAATATTATGCAAATTTAGGAGCAGATCAATTTGCTAAATATTATGCAACTTTAGGAGCAGATCAATTTGCTAAATATTATGCAACTTTAGGAGCATATCAATTAGCAAAATACTATGCAACTTTAGGAGCAGATCAATTTGCAAAATACTATGCAACTTTAGGAACAGATAAATTTGCAAAATACTATGCAACTTTAGGAACAGATAAATTTGCAAAATACTATGCAACTTTAGGAGCATATCAATTAGCAAAATACTATGCAACTTTAGGAGCAGATCAATTTGCAAAATACTATGCAACTTTAGGAACAGATAAATTTGCAAAATACTATGCAACTTTAGGAACAGATAAATTTGCAAAATACTATGCAACTTTAGGAGCAGATCAATTTGCTAAATATTATGCAACTTTAGGAGCAAAGAAAAAAAAAACAGTATAATTAGAAAATAACAACATTTAATTATTTTGATAATAATTCATCATAACCCCCTTAAAAATCGAATATGAAATATATTATCCTTGGAATTTATTTTCGTTAAAGTCTGATCTTGAGATTTAAACTAAAATTTATTTTCCCAAGACTATAGAGTGGGTTAGATCTTTAACTCATATTATTTTTACCTATGACAAGAATATTATTAAGCTGATCCACACCGTCTATCTTGGAGAGAAGTTGATTGACTACGGTGTCGTTAACACCGGTATTCCCGGCCACAGAGCCTCGAGTTTTACAGATAGCGTCGATCTCATCAAATATTATGATGTGAAGACCAGAGTTTACTCCTAGAATACACAAATTTTTATCAATTTTTACATCATTTACAACTTAAGCTAATATCAACATTCTCAACCACTTAAAACTACCGTAAACAATTAGAACCAATATCATTTAAATTTCAGTGAATTTAAAACACCCATTGCCGAAACAAAATAGGGGCAACATCAGATTTTTAAAGAGGGGAGTGGGAGGGGGATCTGTATTAAGAGAGTTTTTGCCCCGATAATAATAGTGGGTTTCAGCTTTTCAGGGGGGGGGGTGTAGGAACCACCTAGTTTCACTTCCGGTGAATTCCCTACCTAGTTTCCGTTCATCTTCCTCAGCTTCCTGGAATAGTTTTCTGATATTTGCCTCGGATTCTCCCACATACTTATCCAGGATCTCAGGTCCGTTCACGATCTTTGGTTCTCTAAATACAACTTGAGGAAAAAACTTTTTTTTTAAATCATTGACTGTAGGTTGATTGTTAATAATAATAATAATATGTATATATATATATAAATATATATATATATATACTTAGCTAATGTGTCTGTTTGTATCCGATATACGGCTAAACCGATTGGGTCTACAATTTTTGAGGCAACTCACATGACGTCAGGAAAAAGGTCAAAAAAACAATTTTTTTTTTATATTTGGTAAATTTTGAAAATCCACAAAAAAACTTAATTAAAAATTAAACCCGCGAACTTTTTTGTTATTTCATTTTGTACAAAGAGAAAATGCCTACATGTAGAACCACAAATTAAATTTGAAATAAGAGATGCCGAGTATGTTCAATAACGCACTCAGTCGGTTTTCCCCGAGTTAGGGGATTCTAAAGAGTTTGGGTATTTGGGGATACACCCCCGATTTTAATTTCTTCTTTTTTTCTCTAGAATTAATATTTTAGTCAATTTAATTACCTCGCGTTCAGCATTTTTCCAATCTGTCTTGCCATCAGTGTTTTACCAGTTCCAGGTGGACCGTGGAGTAATATTCCCTAAATATTTTAGATACAAATTCTATACGAAATCAATTTAAACTATCAAGTAGAGTATTTCAATCACATCCTTAATTAGACTTTAGGCTGTGGAATACTTTGATCTAATGCTTTCATAAAAAATTCAAAATTTGATAACGTTATGTTACAACGTACTGAAAGCACTAGTTCGAACCACTTGGGGTATGGAAAAAGAAATCCACTACCAACATATTAATCAATTGGACAATTAATTCTAAATTACTGCTGTCCCATATGGGGTCCAAATCTATGTGATTAAAAATGGTCAAACAGCCCAAAACTCCGCCCTTAGAACGGCCTTAGAACGGCCCTAGGTTGTGTAGTATGACTAACTCCAACCATCTTCATGCAGAAAGTAAAACCCATCCATTCAAAGAACATTGTCAAATGCTATCAAAGCAGTTTCTTCTAGCCACACAACAAGACTCCCATCCAAACAACATTAATCACATAAATTACAACCTTGCTCGTCTCATGAAAAATATATTAACATTACAACATGATAACTACATCAGACCTTTAATACGGCCAGGAAACCCTCAACACTACAAATTTCTACTAAAACCCATTCATACTAAATCTGTCTCCGCATACATCCAATCACAGGACAATAACCCGGTACTGGATGAACCCCCACCACCCAGACAAATCAGAATCAAACCTACTCAGAAGAACTAGATCTCTACTATCGCAGCTTAGGCATGGCTACAGCTCCATCCTTAACAGCTATTTATCTAGAATCCGTGAGGATGTTACTGACGATTGCCCGGATTGCCAGATGCATCCACACACCACAAGACACCTATTTAACTGCCCTTCAAACCCAACACCCCTCAATGCACAAGATCTTTGACACAATCCCACAAATGTGGCGAAATTTTTGAAGTTAGATCATGAATAAGATGGCCATGGATGAGAGCCGGCCCGGGCTTAAACAACAACAACGAACACATCAATGAATTCATGAACCAAAAATGTAAGTTCATAATGAATTCGGATTTAATCAAAATAAAAAACCTTACCAAACCTTTTCAAAACCTGATAAACGCAAAAAAGAGAGCTTTGAAAGGGATGGGTTTATAAATTTTTATAAAAATGACATATTTGGAAGCCAGAAAGGGATACCAATTTCTAGTGTAAAGGGGAAAATTAGTTTAAGAAACATTGTAGGCCGGGATGTTTTTAAACCTTTTCATACAAATAGACATTGGACAATAAATTGGGGCAAGCATGGGTGGGATATTTTTTATCATAAGAGGGCTAAACCTACCTTTACATGTTTGCATCCAAGATCCTCCATTATTTCAGGAGGAAAAACCCGGGAAGCAAAGGCACGCCTAAAAATCCATAAAATTACAAGCGAATCGTTAAATTATAAAAAAAACTAAAATCCGCAAAATTTGATGCCTTTAAAATTTCATTATCTTTATCTTAACCTAAAAATGGCGTTAAACTCTGTTCCAAGTCCTCCAATGCCCATCTTGGTGAAGTCCCAGTCCGGGTTGATTATTGATTGTCTCTCAATCTTTCCCTTACTCTTCCCAGTCAACCTTAATAAGTAAGAAGAATTAAATAATTTCAAAGGACCACAAAAAACATTTCAAACACACAAAAACCAAGTTATATAATTATTCCTTATCAGACAAAGTTTTCGATATTTCTAACGCACCAAATCTGTAGTCATAAATAATTTACATTGTAACCGAAATTTCAGAAAAGATATGTGGATTTCTCATCTCTGAAACCGACGGACTCATTATAATATTCAACATTTCTTTTAAAAAAAAAAATTTCAAAATTTTTTTTCCATTTTTTTTTCACGGGCAACGACGGGCCCTTCAGCTAGTATTTCATAAGTCGTTAAATGAATAATCACTTAACAGTCTTTAATTGATTCCCATATTTGCAAGTTCTTCTTACCCACTATTTTGGTATTTCAATATGTATTGTCCAATGTGCAAAAAACGAAAAACAAATATTTGTCGTATTTTTCCATAGACCTAAGGAAAGTTTACAAAAAGCATGAACAAAAATAATAATGCATGAGCCTGACACTGAACAGGGTAACCCACAAAGAACGACACTTCTAAAACGACTGTAGAAAATTTTTTTTTTACATTTTTTTCATTCCGTGCAGCTACAAACTACCGTCTTTCTTCGCTAACTCGTATAAAAAAAATTTGTCAGAAGTACACGTCAAAATTTTAAATTCAGTATATTCAACGAATTTTAGGATTAAATCTCATTCTTAATAGGTAACCCTGTAGATTTACTTTAATTTCTACTTCTATATACCTCATCAAACTTCCTTCCATTTTTTCAAATATTACAGCTGAATTTGGAAGCAAAATTCCTTTCACAGCTTCCTGAGACTTTACTGCTGTCCCAGACTAAATTTAAACAATATATTGCATGAAACTCCTTCATTAACACAAGAAGTAGTAAACTAACAAAGATAGTATAAAAGTAATGAGAAATTCCTAAAGAATAAATTATTATACAAAACTGCGCAAAGTATTTGAGAAAATATGCCAGGTTCAATAATTTTTACCGTAAATAATTATCAACAAAGAATATTATATTCCTAAAAATAAATTTTATAGATCTGAGAAACTACTACATATATATTTTTATAATAAATCATTCAAAGGAACCGAAGAACGCGGCAATGGTTGACATTTTTAGAATAAAAATGGGTCTCTTATTGTACTGCGGAGAAATAAAAATCAAATATTCACAAAAGTACGCAATTTAATACCTTAATATTAGATATATCTGTACACTGAATACTCTTGACAACAGCCACCAACAACTTCTTGTCACTAAACCCGAACACCATCTGCTGGCCCTGGGTGAGCGCCAGGTTACCAAACTGGTTCAAGAATTCCCCCGCCATCTCATCGCTGTTATACTCGTCGTTCGCGTTGTTCTTCTTAGTGAAGTAGTCGATCTCGACGGTTAGCTGGGAGATGTAGGCCGTGTTCTTGTCGAACCAGTATGGGGACACCAGGATATCCTGGTTAATAGACAGCTGGGCCCATTTCCTCTGGGGCATTGAAAACCCAAGTTCTCCATTAGGTATTGAGGGATCGGATATTAGACTGAATATGAAACTTTCTCCGGACCCAACCCTTACTTCAACGTGGGGAACATCCTTAGGATTAAAATCCGAAGGATTCGCAACCGCTCGATTACATTTACTATGTAGCTCCGGACACTTGGAAACCTTCATCGTTCTCGACATATTATCTGCAACTACAACTAGACATATGAAAACAAAAAAGAGTATATTTATAAATAACACAAAGAACTAAATAAGAACGGTGAAGGACCGAGCACTGCACTGCTGCTTGATGGTAAATTTTGGCAGAACTCAGTCCTTGCCCGTTACAAGGTTCAATCATACATGTTTACAAGGTTACTGAAGAATATTTTTATGGAATTATGGATTTATTTACTCCCACTCTTGCTTCATGGCGAACAGTGCCTTGTTCTCTAAAATGGGCCCGATGAGAGGGTTCATCTAAAAACAGAAAATATGAAAATCTTAAGATATCTTTTAAATAGAATTTTTAATAATTTCAGTGACTAGACCATATCTCTCGAGATTGATAATGCATAGATAATATTGCAAGGTTCCATAAAACAAATTAAAAATGCACTAATTTCATGTCAGATTAACTTTTATGGAACCGAACAAAAGAAGTTTCGAAAAAAAATTGCCAATTTTAATGTGATTGAAAATATTTTGATTAAAAAAATATTCAATCCGTTATGTATTTTACATAAGAACACAAAGTGAGGATTCGCAAGAACATGGGATTGGGAACACAATAAGAGAAATCCGAGCAAATATTGGATTTATTTAACTGTAAGCGACGAATGTTTTCACAATCTTCTCGTTACTTAAACTCAAACATCAAATAAAAACCATACAATTCCATTCAATTAAATTTGCGGGTTGAGCCTACATCCTTTTATTCTTTCGCTAACACTCACTTTAAGGACGTATATTAGCGACGTATATAGCTTTCTTTACTTTGATTACCTGGGACATATAGCAACATAACCAGAAGAGCCAGCAACATATGCCGGTCAGAAGCAGGGATACCTTAACATTATATAATTCAAAGGAGCTTCAAACATAATTTACAAAGACCTTTTATTCAGAGGGGCATGTACCCTTCATCACTTTGAGGAATAACCCAGTTCGAAATCTTCCTCACGGCTTTTTTTCTACTCAGATAGTTCTTTAAAAAGTTCACTGAACCACGAGTTCCTTCGACCAATTTAGCCTACAGAACATCTCTTGCTGCACTGGATGTTTTGTAAGCAAAAATGGTCTTGGGAACCCTTGCAGGAAAAGTAAAATATCCTTAACTTCCCTGTAAAGTAGTTGTAACAAAATTAAAATTGATTATATATTTTTCTAATTACCTGAATAACGCTTTTGTGCGGAGACGCGGGGATAAGGAAGGGTAGAATGCCTCCAACTACCCCCCACACTATTGTGAAGAAGAGTACAGGGATGAGGCTTGCCCCCATTTTCTAACCTGAAATCAGCAAACAGTCCCTTTAAACATTCATTCAACATGGAGACTAGTAAAACTAGACTGGACTCAAGAATCAGATCTCATAAAATTTACAATTTGGTTGAAAATATAAATAAATCACTACTTTAAATAAATCACAAGCAAGCTATTGGTTGTTGCATAACAAATGCATGTAAAGAATCACAATTTTAAAATGTAGAATAAATAAGATAAAAAATTTCATGATAAATATCAAATCTATGCCCAACAAAATATTTAAAATTTCAGATCAAAAATCACCAGACTTAATAGTTTACATATCCACTTAAGGGTATATAAGTACTCATTATACATTGAGCCGAAAAAAAAAGATTTTAAAAATTTCTCTTATTAAAAACCGAAAATAATTAATATTTATTCCACATGTAACAAGAAGTATATGAAGACCAGAGCTGGTCGATCATAATTAAATAATTTATGGATTCCTCCGGATTTCCATTAATCTGCTTCGCGGATTTCAGAAGCTCATCCTTCAGGACTTTGAACTTAGGACCAGATGCTGCTTAATCCTCGAGGTTTCTAAAAGCAGTTTGCATGTTCTCGTAGAGCTCCTCGTAGTCGGCCTTGATCTTTGCCTCTCCGTCCTTCACTGGGTCCTACAAGTAGGCAATTGTCAATAAGATCACTTGTTTAATGATCAAAAAGTACAGCAGTTTTCAAAAGGAACCAAAACTAAAGGGTTTGCATCTTGATCTTCTAACAGGAGTATATAGTTTTAGGGGTGGGGGAATTTCAAAGATCTGGAAGGAAACTTCAAAGATCTGGAAGGAAATTTCAAAGATCTGAAGGGAAATTTCAAATATCTGGAAGGAAATTTCAAAGATCTGAAGAGAAATTTCAAAGATCTGGAAGGAAATTTCAAAGATCTGAAGGGATATTTCAAATATCTGGAGGGAAATATTAAAGATCTGAAGGGTAATTTCAAATATTTGGAAGGAAATTTCAAAGATCTGGAGGGAAATTTCAATTGATCTGGAGGGAAATTTCAAATATCTGGAGAGGGGAAAATGAAAATTTTACATTCACATGACAAAACCTTTCGCTTTTTTATGCAGAATGTAATCATAAATTGAAAAAAGAAGCATAAGAAAGATAATATAGATTGTAGCCAAGCCACGTCATCCAGACAGTGCTGTGAACTACCGATTTTACGAACATTTAATCAATTAGACAATGCATAGGTTTTCAGGTGTAGTTTTTCAATAAGTTAGTTTAAAGAGAAGATTTGCGATTGAATTAAAGTTTTGACATAAATACAGAAAATAAATACTCAAATGAATAAAAGATAAAAGTAACGAAAAACAAAAAGTTTTATTTGAACTTCTGGAAATAAGAACGATGCCTGTAATGAAGTAAACAATTTGTTCAAATATTCAATAGTTCATAGGATCAGTAGTTCAAATAGTTGTCCAAATTTACAACCACTAATCGTTTAAAATGTCGTCGTCTTATTTCTGTCACTCACTTAGCCTGGTCTTGGCAAAGCCTGGACTACGTGAACCCGGAAACAATAAAACTATTAGAGACAATACAAAGCTTTAAAATATAGGTCTGCAGATGTTTCCTTACCTTGAATTTCATACTGGCAAGCTGATACATGATGTCTGACATTGCCTCCCTGATGACGGACCAGGTGATCTTGTTGTCGGACTGTGCCGTCGTCTCCACCCCGTGCCTGGCAAGGTCGTAGAACGCAATCATGTTTCTCAGCATGCCAACAGTTTTATAGAAGGGACAGTACCTAAACAAAGCAAAAAACATTAAAACTGTTCTTAGAAGAAAAAACAAGGTCAAAGAATAAAAGTTCCGCTTTCTTTTTTCTGGAAAACTCTTCTCATTTTTACTCAAAAAATATTTTCTGGAAATAGATAATTTTCACGCATTAAATGACAGGACTTGACTTAACTTAACAATGTGTAAACCCCTTTCTAGTAAAGCGCAACTCAATGGACTTAAAAATTTGTCTGTCATTTCATCGAATCAACTCACAAAATTCTTCGAAACTTAACAGCTTTATTACTTTCGAGTCTTAATTTTTTTATCTTGACACAGCTGTTAAAATTATAAAAATTTCAGTCATGTGCTTTTTAATTAATAGTTTGACATGGGAGCAGCAGAACCCTGGACCTAGGCCTTGGGGTTTTTGTAATCAAATATTTATTCCGCATAGATGCTTAATCAACGGTTTAGGGGGAACTCGGGGAACCGTTTGGAAAATTTCTTCAATGGAGGATTAATCAAAAGAACGTTAAATTTCTATTATTAATTAAAAAGTTTAAATTGTTATTTTTGGGATTGTAAAGAACACGGTAAATCGGGGGTCTGGAAAGTATTTAAAACCTTTTTTCACCCGTTAAAGAAGATTTTTCTTTTTAGCTATTTTAGAATTTTTGTTGAACTTGATAATTAAAATATAGTTTATTAAGTCGTTTGCTCTATTTTTTATAATTAGAGATCAAAATATGACTGTAAATATGGATGCACTTCCTTGTAGTTGTTTAATAGTAGTGTAAGAAGTATAAAAAATATACAATTCTTATTCCATAAGTTGTGAGCTCATCGAAAATTTTTTAAACGTGTAAACAATAAATATGTAACTTTCATTCCCTTTTTTAGAATTGGGGAAAATATTTGGAGGGGTTTAAATATTTCATCCTCAAACACTTACATTTTTTTGTTATAACGTATAGATAAATAATTACTTGATGAACCCCTATAGGGGAGGGGGGATACATGTTTACTAGTTTGATGAACCCCTTGTACATGTTTACTAGTTTGATGAACCCCTACAGGGGAGCGGGTTGTACATGTTTACTAGTTTGATGAACCCCTACAGGGGAGCGGGTTATACATGTTTACTAGTTTGATGAACCCCTCCAGGGGAGCGGGTTGTACATGTTTACTAGTTTGATGAACCCCTACAGGGGAGCGGGTTGTACATGTCTAATAGCTTGATAAACCCCCTACCTATCATATGAGGAGTAACCATTCTGTTGGAGGAAATCATCCTTCAAAAGTTTAGCAACCTCTAGGGTGATCTTGTCGGACTCGGCCAGGGAGGCTTTTCCGACCAGTTGGACGATCTCAGAGAGATCCTCCTCCTCCTGCAGGATCTCCTTCACCTAGACGGACAAGGAGATCGTTATTGATGGATTGCAAACGGCACCAGGAAAAACTCCGGATTTACAAAAAATTTTCGCACAAATGATTTTCCCGCTTTATTTTTCACTGAATGTCCATTAAATAACCCCAAATTCCATTAAATATCCCAGAACGTCCATTAAATATCCCCAAATGTCCATTAGATATCCCCGAATGTCCATTTAATGTCCCCGAATGTCCATTAAATAACCCAGAACGTCCATTAAATATCCCCAAATGTCCATTTAATATCCACGAATGTTCATTTAATATCCCCGAATTTCCATTTAATATCCCCGTATGTCTATAAAATATCCCCGAATTTTACATTAAAGGGAGTGTTCGCGAAAAATAAAAGGGGGTATAGGCTTAATGCGATAAAAAAGCGCTTTTGATCGCTACTAATCTTACTTCTATCTGTTGCGTCTATAAGGAGAAACTTGTTAAAGACGTCTCATACCGAATAACTTAGCGCCCATACAAATTCAGAAAATTGCAACATACAACTTAGACCGTAAAAAATCCATTTAATTTCAAACAAATCATTCAGATAGTACAACCTATAGTCATCGATTATCTTTCGCCAAATTTGTAAATAGTTTATATTTTATATTTTATTTTTTTTTAGAAAACGTTTTAACTGATTTCGAAAAATGTGAGTGGTCCGCGGCATTCTTAGATAGTTGCGCAAGCCGCAAGAGAAATAATCATATTCAAAACAAATTAATTAAAAAATATTTTAAGATATGAACTAAACTTTATACAAATGTGGCGAAAGATAATCGATGACTATAGGTTGTAATATCTGAATAATTTGTTTGAAATTAAATTGATTCTTTTACGGTCTAAGTTGTATGTTGCAATTTTCTGAATTTGTATGGGCGCCAAGTTATTCGGTATGAGACGTCTTAAACAAGTTTCTCCTTATAGACGCAACGGATAGAAGTAAGATTAGTAGCGATCAAAAGCGCTTTTTTATCGCATTAAGCCTATACCCCCTTTCATTTTTTTGCGAACACTCCCTTATCCCCGAATGTCCATTAAATATCCTCGAATTTCCCATGACCTGCTACACGCCATTATTCTAATCTTTCCGGGTTCACATCTAACCACAGTTTCGGAAACTGCTGATAAACTAACTAAGTACACTTCCACCTAATTTCTAATTACTATCAAATTCAAAAGAAAAAAAGGTGACACATGGTTGAAACTAAATCAAAATAATAGTAGAATAAAATTCATATAAAAAGTAGAAAAGGTTTAATAATAACTCCAGAATTAATGTTTAGAATATCAATACTGTTAAAACATTCTCCCCACTCCCAAATAAAAAAAGACACTCAATAAAAAAATATCAAGAATTAGAGTTAATGAATTTGAGCCAGGTCTTGAATCGGTGATTCAGGATTTGTCCATTGTCCATGTTCTATATTTTCTAACTATACTCTGCAGAACTACATAAAAGTATTTGAATCGACGGTAGGAAGTTCTACGACATAGCTCAATTTGATCAAATTCGGTCCCAGATTTAACAATTTTGCTATTAAGTAGATAAATTGTCAAGTTCAAAGTATAAGTAGATCTTACCTTCATCCTGAGAGAGACAAACTCCGGGAAGTTCTTCTCATAGTAGTCGTCCAGGGCCCTCATGTACTTGCTGTAAGAGATCAACCAATTCACAGAAGGGAAATGTTTCCTCTGAGCCAACTTCTTGTCCAGACCCCAGAACACCTGAACAAAACGGAAAAAAGATAATAAATTCTGTCAGTTTTATTCCATGACTCTACTAAATTAATTCGCAGGTCACTTTGAAAAAGAATCCCCACGGCGCTCGGCCCAGAACTAGTCTTTACCTAACCTAACCCTGGAATAATACAACATATTTTATATTTTTACATGTACTTTATTTATAAAGGGGGCGGGAGGGGGGGTCCAAACATCTTTCTCTATGATAAGAGCCTTTAATAGAACCGATTGAATATGTTTATTTGAAATAACGTCAGCAGTCCCTTTATTTAATAATGGATGAACTCCAAGTACCTGTACAATACCCAGAGTGGCGGAGGTTACAGGATCGGAGAAATCTCCGCCCGGAGGAGAAACAGCCCCGACAATACTTACACTACCCTCTCTCTCAGGGTTACCTATAATGTAGATCAAATAAAAAAATTAAACCAAAAAACATGTCCATATATGAACCGGATCCGCTGAATCCAAACATTTTACCCCCCAGGATCCGGATGCAAAAAAATCATAAATCATTGTTGTTAACGCATAAATCTAAAGAGTAAGCCATTTTAAAATTATTAAACCTGATCTGATCTCAGAAAGCAACAAAATTAGTTCAAATAAAAAGATCAAGTGACAGGAAATAAAAAAATCATGATAATTAATTACCTAGACATTTGACCCTGCCCGCTCTCTCGTAGAAGCTGGCCAGCCTGGCTCCCAGGTAGGCAGGGTAACCAGAGTCAGCTGGCATCTCAGCCAACCGACCTGAAGATAAAAATTAATAAAATACGCGAGTTACAATCGCTACACATCCTATTGAATTTAAACCAAGTAGCGTAACAGGTAAAAATAAACTTGCCCACAATGTCGGATATTTTGTATTAATACTCCATTTCAGTCTCTTTTTCATTTTGGTCATTCCGTTAAAAATATCAATCTCTTGAGGTCAATGAATGATTACAAAAATACGAGTCAGCTGTTTTTAACGTATTTAATCGTATTTAAAAACATTTATTCGCTTCAAATTAAAAGTTGCGGTTTCTAGATTTGTTAAAAAATTTCGACAGTTCCAAATCAAAATTCAAAAGAAGAGTTTTTTTCCACATTTAAATCCATTTATCTTTGCAAACCTTTGCGTGTAAACCATTGATAATTCTGATTTAACGGGGTTTAGAGTTTGAAATATCAAAGGTCTACGACATTGGGTAATAACGATATAGGGATTAGGAATTTGTGGTAAAGACACAATTCCTTTTTATTATCTCTGGACAGCGGACAATTTATAATGAAGAATAACTATTTCCATTATTAAGAAACTTCAAGAATAAAATATATAAGATGAAAGTGGAACCTGAGATTTCTCTGAGTGCCTCGGCCCATCTACTGGTACTATCAGCCATCATACTCACATTATATCCCATATCCCTAAACACATTTATATTCTACTTGAAGAGCGTTATAAAGTGATCCAGGATAAACCTATGAGCGTTTCAGTGTACAGTGGTTACCAGATATCTTTAGAATAATTCTCGTCTTAGTTCTTTCTTTCCATTTTTTAATCGATTTTGTAATTGTTCTGACTGGTTAAATTTAAGCCGGTTTATGGTTCTTTAAAAGAATAAATTACAAATTGAAAACACCTTGAATGCATTTCATATAAATAAGAAAGAAAGAGGACGACAATCAATTTAAGTGCTGATCGACACAAAATTTTATTTTCATTAACTCATTTAAGATGGATTGATGAATTTCATGGAATTGAAATCAAACCGAGGAAAAAATAATGAAATATGACTCTTTGATCTAGAAATATGATCTGATGACAAGAAAGAAAATATCATTCGCTTAGTAGTTAGATTTTTGCCAGTAATTCTTTTTCCATATTTAAAGATAAAAACAGAAAAAATCGGAGAATGCAAAGCGCACTGAAAGCGAAGAAAAAACGCAGAGGAAAAAAATGTAAGTATGAAAAAAATGTGACGGGGGTATTTTTCTCCGCCGCTCTCCTCTTGAAACTCATTTACCACAGAAATTAAGAAACTTTGAAAGAAAGTCCCAAATTCAAAATTTTTCTCGAGTTTTATTAGATAAGTTGGGAAAAGTAGAATAATTAGAGGGAAAACAATGTAATTTGTGGGAAAACAAATGAAATTTGTGGGCAAACAAATGAAATTTGTGGGAAAACAAATGAAATTTGTTGGAAAACAAATGAAATTTGTTGGAAAATAAATGAAATTTGGGGGAAAACAAATGAAATTTGCGTGAAAACAAATGAAATTTGCGTGAAAACAAATGAAATTTGTGGGAAAACAAATAAAATAAAAATTTTAAGATAAAAGTGTTGGAGAAAAGTATCAAAAAAGGGGGGGGAAATGAAAATCAAAGTTTGGGTAAAAGTATCTATAAGATGAAAGGAGATTTTATGGGAAAACAATAAAATTTTTGGGTAGAATTATCTTAAAGTTGGAAAAAACTTTGGAAGTTGATTTCAAATTTTGCATTTGTACTCAGACCAACGAAAATCAATCTTGGAACTGTATACCCCTGAAAGGTGACTGACCTGAAGTACTCTGAGAGTGTAATACCAGTATAGATACTGGCTTCCCTGGCCGCTACCGGCATATTACTGGTGTTGGCGACCAGGGTTGTCCTCCTCATAATGCTCTCAGTCTTCCCTCCGATCTCCACGGTGAGCTGGGGGAAATCCTGGAGTACTTCACTCATCTCATTTCCACGTTCTCCACACCCGACATAGATGATGACGTCAGAGTTGGAGTACTTGGAGAGGGATTGGGAGATTACGGTTTTACCGCAACCGAAAGCTCCGGGGATAGCTGTTGTACCTCCCTACAATATATTTAAATTTAGTGTTGTACTGTACTGTAGTTTGTTTATCTGTACAGTAGTTTGTTTATCTGTACTGCAATTTGTTTATCCGTACTGTAGTTTGTGTATCTTTATTGTAGTTAATTTACCTGTACTGTAGTTTGTTTATCTGTACTGCAGTTTTTTTATCTCTACTGTAGTTTGTTTATATGTACTGCAGTTTGTTTATATGTACTGCAGTTTGTTTTTAAGTACTGCAATTTGTTTATATGTACTGCAGTTAGTTTACCCTTACTGCAGTTTGTTTATATGGACTGTAATTTGTTTACCTGTACTGCAGTTTGTTTATATGTATTGTAGTTTGTTTACCTGTACTGCTGGGAATAGACCGTCTAGAACTCTCTGTCCTGTGAGCAGAGGATGGTTAGCTGGAAGTTTCTCTGTGACTGGTCTGGGCTGTCTGACTGGCCAGACCTAGGAATAACAGGCTAGAGGTTCAATCATGCTTCTACTGAGGTCAAATCTTATAATAAGTTCAAAATGCGCTCAGTCGGTTACCCTTTATATATTCTACCCTTTTCCTAATCTCCTGGATGGATTTTCTGTGATTCCCGGAATAAAACTAAAATTTCTCAATTCAAAAATTTACGCACAGGATAATTAGATTGATGTAACGTTAAGGAACATGCGGAAACGGAAACTGCAAGAGCGCCCAATTTGAACCCCCCCCGACCGCCGGAAGGTGTTGGAAGCACTGTCCAATACCAGTTCCTAAGTTTACCCCCCAGCCGGGGGAGTTAAGGAGACAAATAAATGATAAAAAATCATTAAATCCAGTTTTATTTTAGTTTTATTATTAATTTATCAATTATTTAATTATCAAACTTAAATTTATCAATGGAACATCAAATTTTGTGAAGTTCTGTTTCAGATACAAAAAATGAAAGGTTAGTTTTAATAAAATGAAAAATTTTAAAAATTCCCCTCCACTAAGATTATCTTTCCTTTGGCAATTTGACGAATGGCAGTCATATTTCTAAAATTTTTTTTTTTGGGGGGGGGGGGATAATGATATTATACCTGTACAAGTGTATGCTGAGATTTTACTCCATCGAACTCTGTCTCCAGTACAACATCTTTAATAGTGTAGTTACCAGGGGGTGCAAGGTAGGTGACTGTCCCCCTTGCCTTGGGGGGCAACATCATGTGATGTTTGATCAGATTATTCTCCTACTCGCAACACAACCCCGTTATTTGTCAAATCAAGATTAAATAAAACAGAAAGTAAAATTCGGTGAATAAAATGAGGATTTATTCTTACAATTAACATTGGAAAATGTGACGAAAATTTGAACAGATGTCACAGTAATTCGTTCAGCATTGACAACACTTTTGACAGCAATATGATTAGATTTGACAACAATGGGATCAGATTTGACAAGAATATTATCAGATTTAAAGTCAGTATGTTCAAAATTGACAGCAATGTGATGAGAATTGACAAAAATATGTTTAGAATTCACAGCTAGCGGTATGTTCAGAAATGTCAGCAGTACGTTCACAACTGAAAGCTATAACTTCCGAATTGTCAGCAACGTCAGTTCAGAATTGACAACAAATGTTCAGAATTGACAACAAATGTTCAGAACTGACAGCAAATGTTTAGAATTGACAGCAAATGTTCAGAATTGACAACAATATGTTCAGAATGAAAATTGACAGCAAATGTCCAATATTGACAACTTAATGTTCAGAATAGACAAAAATATGTTCAGAATTGAAAGCAATATGTTCAAAATACAAAAATGTTCAGAATTAAAAGCAATATGTTCAGAATTGACAGCAATATGTTCAGAATGAGAATTGACAGCAACATATGTATAGAACTGACAGAAATATGTTCAGAATTGACAGGAATATTTTCAGAATTGACAGGAATATGTTCAGAATTAGCAAGGTTTTGTTCCTGAACAACAGCGTATACATCTCCGCCAGTAATATGAGAACCTAAAATATATAAGGTTCTAAAAAAATTACACATTAAAGGTTGAAAAAAAATTCCGAACTTAATCAAAAAATTTCTATAAAAAACTACGTTCTTGAATTTCTGAGAAGAATTGGAAAAAAAATCGCCAACGAGGTCCAAAAAAGACAGATAGTATGTAACAACGCACAGAATTAACCAATGTGTGCCTAAAGGTGCGAGGGGTAGGGTTTGCGCACAAAATTGATTATGGTTTTAGAACAGCTAGTAACAATAAATTATAAACAATGATCAATGTAAACATACCCGGAATTGTCTTCTGATTGCTGTTTATTTACCTAAAACCAGTTCCTGAGCAGTTTTAATATGTCACAATAAAGTGCACACAAAAACTGTCTCCCCCAACTTTTAGTTAACATAACTTAAGATTGATTACCTTTTCCATGTAGTTTATTCATGAACATTTAACTAACCTATTCTGAGTTTTCCAGGCTGGAAATCCCACTGCTCAGTGATACTCAAGCTTGGTGTATTTATACCCTAATCATAGTCAACACCTTGAAATATTTGTTTACTTTTTATCTGTTGTCGTGGTCAAAATTTTGCTAAGTGTAAGAAAACAAGATTTAGTATCCAATTTTGTAATATGTTCGCAGATTTTTCAGAATCTTTCTGACACAAATGGGTTTAGGTATTTATAACCGCTAAAAATATTTTAATCATCATTTTCAGAGCGGATCAAGATAAAAATGAAAGTTGATGGAAGGTTGTTAATATTTGCTCTCTATGTATGTAATCTATAGCCAGCCAAATCAAAACACTAAGAGGTGCCTTTATTAAACAAGATACATGTGTCCCTTGATAACAAAGAATAATCGACTTGTCCCTTACATTGACCAATGACCATGTAAGACACAAAAAGTCTTTTTCTCCGGAGTATTAAAACGACCAAGCTTATATTGCTTGATTCACTTCTAGAAGAGGTCTTTCAAATGCCGAGTTGTCATTAAAATATAAACAAGTATTAATGACTTCAAGGAGGCCAAAAATGGGAGACCAAAATTAGAAGTGCCATAAGATTCGAGTTTTATCGAGGCTGAGCCCTGTTTTGTATCAGTACGGACCTGTCTGATGCGAGGTTTTAACCCCCTGTATCCTTGAGGCTGTTAAAACAGCCTCTACAGTCTGAAAATTCTCTATATACAGAACAGTTTGTATTTTGGAGTGGAAGTTACAAACTTTGAGTGGAAGTTGAAAACTGTATAGTGAAAGTTATAAACTTTTAAAAAAAAGCAATAAACTTTTGAATGTCAGCTTCAACCATTTGGTGCTAAGTGATATATAGACACTTGCTAGGGCACTTAAACTAATATTACATATATTTCTGCCGATTTTTTATCTAGATTGACGGAAGTAACGTAGTCTGGGAGACAAGTAGCAGCGGAGTCCCAAAGGAACTCAAACCTTTGTATCGGAGGCTTGATTAACCACTAGGATAAGGATGTACCCTTGATACAATAGAGAGCAAAATTTAGGGTTTACTCTACCACTTATTACTAACCTGGTACATCCTTCATTTACTAGGATAGAGAAGAAGTTTAGACTTTCTACTAAATCTATTATCAATAAATATAACTTCCCCATACAATGCATAGTAGTCGGTGAACTTTTATCTCCGGATAACTTTTTACCGAGTGGTCTGTTGGGGTATTTTTATCTCCGGATAGCCTTACTCCGCCAGATCAATTTTAAACTGAGTAAGTGACAGCTTAACTGCACACTAAAAGAAGGCTTTAAAAATATAAAAAAACAAAAATAGAAAAAATCTAAAAAAACAAAACAAAAAATCTAAGGAAAAAAAATCTTTAAAAAGTAACAAAAAAAGGAAAAAAAATAAAATCTTTAAAAAGTAACAAAAAAAGGGAAAAAATATAAAAGAAAAAAAAATATAAAAGTGAAAGGATAAAGAAAAGAATAAAGAAAGATAAAAGAAAAATATATACAAAAAATTTAGTACAAAAAGCCCACTCAGTATTTTAACCCTGTATATTCATTCAATTGTAAACTCCGCGAGGAGTCCCCGAAGAAATACTTGCTAGTTTCATAGGGGTATTTTTATTTGTTTAAATTTTATTTATCCAAACATGGCGGACAAACCACCAAAGAAGACTTATCCCTGTTTGAAATGTGATGAGCATGTTGCCAAGAATGCTGAAGCTGTACAATGCATGTTCTGTGAATTCTGGATTCACAAAAAATGTGCAGGCCTCACCAAGGAAGTTTTTGATTTTATGGTAAAGACAGCTAAAGCAACTGGGAATGAACAGTATATCTGTACTGCCTGCACCTCAACCTGTACTTCTCTCAACAAAAAGATAAGTACAATGGATAAGGAGCTGAAAGGAGTAGTGAAGACTGTAGATGAAAACACTAGAGTCATTGAGAAATGCATGGACACTGTGGAGGATCTAAAGAAAAAGATGCCAGACAGTGAGGAAGTCATGGCTAAAACAGTTGAAGCATCAAATGATTGTGTGTTTCTTGAACTAAGAGATCAACAAATCAGACGGAAAAATATTATCATACATAATATTCCTGAGTTGGAGGATAATGATCCAAGAGCCAGAAAGGCCCATGATAATGATAACCTGAAAGAGATACTCAAAATTATCTCACTATCTAGCATCAAGGAGGATGATATCAAGTATATGAACAGAATTGGGGAAAAGAGGCAAACTGATAGACCCCTTCTAGTGAGCTTTAGGAAACAAGAGCACAGGGATAGTGTGCTAGAACATGCAAGATTCCTGAAATCATCAAAAAAGGCTGATATTAGTCTTATCCCTGACCTCACTAAACGTCAAAGGAAGGAGGAGGATGACTTGAGAAAGGAAATGAGGAAAAAAAATGAAGAGCTCAATGGAGAGGATCATTTAAACTGGGAATGGAGGTTGGTTGGAATCAGAGGAGAGAGGAAACTAGTAAAAATGAAAAAATTCCAACAAAGAGCAGAAAAAGAAAACCGACCATTCAGACCTGGCCAGCACAGACAGCTAACTGCCAAAACAACAAATCCAAACCTTATGCCCCTAGGGGAAAAAAACAGGAAAAGGAAACCAATAGACGAGGATCTTTCCAGGAGGAAGAAGAGCAGGGGAGGAGAGGAGGAGGAGGAGACAGTGTCAGAGTCAGAATTGGAAACAGAGGAACTGGAGGGGAGAGGAGCCAGTCTCAGATCCAGAGGAGCGGAGAGGCCAGAGGCCAACAACTAAAGATCCTCTATATGAACGCCCAGAGCATTGTTGGAAAAATAAATGAGCTCGAATGTGTAGCAAATGAATTTTCTCCTTCCATTATCATCATAACCAGTTAACATCACTATTTTACGTTAGGTCAGGACAAATAGCATATTATAATTACGCAGCCTTGTAAAATGTACATATGAAAAAGTAAAGGGGGGAAATATTTTCTATTTTTAATACTAAAAAGTCACTTTGATCCAAAACAATTCTGATTGAAGGTGAGATTCTTAAACGAGAAGCATTATTTCAATTTAGTTTCCATTATGAGTAAATATGATAAAGGAAATACTATGGTTTCCATTATGGGTAAATATGATAATGGAAACACTATGGTTTCCATTATGGGTAAATTTGATAAAGGAAACACTATTGTTTCCATTATGGGTAAATATGATAATGGAAACACTATGGTTCCCACTATGGGTAGATAATAAATATGATAAAGGAAACAAGATAAAAAGAAGAAAAAGGGTCTAAAACACATTACACCTTTATTTCTAATTTCCCATCTTTNCCTGGATAGTAGCAAAGTCCCCCTCTAGCCTAATAATCTCCCCGACCAACTCGCTATAGCCTACTCTGACCAGCTCGTACATAGCTGCCCCAGACATATGCTCGGCTGTTACTACAGGTCCGGACACAGCATACACATACCCAAACTAGATACAAGGAATAATATATCGGATTCATGTCAATACCATCATTTAATCATCAATCAATAAATCAATAAATCTATCAATCAAATGTTAATTATAAGACACCTCGGAAAGAAAAAAAGCTCACACTGAAGTCAAATTTTTTTTATATCCCCAATTTCACATATGTGCAAATTAATTGGGAATCATAAAAAAAAGTATATTCAGTGTAGATTTGATTAGACCAACCCCAACCCGAAGTTAATTTGATTTTTTTTTCACATATTTCTTAAAGAATTGTTTTTCCTTTGCTATTTTTTTACTAGTTCAATCCAACTATTTTACCCGAGCATGATGTGAAATGTAAAATGCCAGCCTTAATTCTGGGCGAAATACGACGTTGTATATTCATGTAATTTCATGTAACCTTCCATTCAAAAAAGGGAAGGGAAATGTCCGAATTAAAATAACGTCTTTATTCCCATAAACTTGGGCCTTTGAGTCCTTTTATGTGAATTTTATTATGCAAATTTAGTTCTCGATCGTTAAGACGTTTATAGATAAAAACAAATCAAAAGACGGTGCTAATATTTAAACAGAATTAACAATAATTTGTATACCCTAGATTCCTTCTCCTCATCTTTTATCTTAGGCAGCTTCTGCATTCTATCCGCTGCTCCTGCCATTTTTAATTCTGAAAGAAAAGAAAATAAAGTAATTTATTCGCTCCTTCATTAAGAACTATCATTGAGGTACAGTATACGTAATTTGGGGTGCCCATATATGCAAACACGCGATGCCCGGTTAATAACAGTACCCTTCAAACCTTGATCTGATGAGACAAAATGTGGAAGATGTCATCATTTTCCTGACAAAGTCTTAATTTTGATAATTTTTCCAAGAGACGCGCAAATAACTTTCGCAAAGAATCCGCAAATGAGAATAAACAGTTAAAAGAAAAAGAAACATGGATGTCTAATACATACTTTTCAAACAAAGCTTTGAAGGCCGTTGGGTAAATTCCCAGAACACGATTTTTGGACCCCCCTTCCTACCAATTTTGTGCGTGGATCTCATATGTAACACATGGATAAAAATACTCATGTGGCCGCAGCACCCCCGGCCCCCTAGCCTGTCCTAGCCGCAGTGCTAGGCCAACTAGCCTGTCCTGGCCACAGAGCTCGGTCCAGAAATGGTCTTAACCTAACCTGACCCTAAAATAATAAAAATAAATAATAATTTTGCTGACACTGTCTGGGCCGAGCGCTGCGGCTAGAACAGGCTAGGGGGCCGAGCGCTGTGGCCACGGGTTAGGTTAAGTTAAGACACTTTCTGTAAGATCCATGTACAAAATTGATAGGAGGGGGGGCCCGGGGGGTCCAAAAATCGTTCTCTAGGAATATACCCAATTTTCGACATAACGATTACTTACGAATTGACACGGCTTAATAAATGAGTTAAATAAACCTTAAACTGTCACATGTATACTATTTCTAAGCTTGTATGAAGATTTAATAAGATGTTGTGCAGTCTGAAGCTGCAGTTTATCAACATTTCGACAACCATATTTACACAAATGTCAGACAATGGAAATATACTAATACAACAATTCAATAAAATATTCTCATTTCTAGGTGGATTATCACTCCTCCCACTCGATCTCCTGGCAGTCCTCCTTTAACATCTTGTTCGAGTTTTTGATCAACTGACAGAGTCATGTGAGGGGGAGGTTCTGTGTACAGAGGACAGCTGAGCTGAGGGGGGAGGGGGGGGAGGGATCGATAACCAACCAAAACCGGTTTTCGCAGGGATAAATATACAACTCGTTTTAGACATTTTTAGATTCAGTAAAAAAGAAAATCCAATCCTCATTTTTTCTTCATTGATTTTATGTATTGCAAGTCACACCGTTTTTGGTCGGAAAAGTTTGCGTCATCAATTTCTCGTCGTCTTCAAATTAGATTTTTAAGGTTCTTCAGAACAAAAGTGAAAAAATTTAAGATAGAGCTAGGCTATAGCTTATCTAAACAATTGGAGTTATTCAATATAAGAGGGGTAACCCCCCCCCCCAGGAAATATGTTATTCCTCATCAGCTTGTAAAAGATCACACAGCACACAAAAATTGCCAAATCATTAATCAAAGGAATCGATTGAATTGAATGAATCAAGTCAGTCGAGAGGGGGGGGGAGTGCAGAAGTCCTCAATTAGTAATCACCGCCACCCAAACGTATTTTGCGGCATGCGCGCTCCTCAATTGGTATAATCTCGACCATGCTAACATGGCCTTAAATTTTAATCTGAAATAAAAATATTAACATTCAATTGTTCATTAATTCTTACACAGCTAACATAAAGACCACTGGCAACAGTATGGCGTAAATAAGGGGGGTTAATGGGGTTATTTATCCCTCCCCCCTAGAATCCTGGGGGTAATTACTCCCCCCCCCCCAGATTTTAAAAACTTGATTTTAAAATTGAATATCTTTTGAATTTGCGTACGCAAGAAGACGTCAGACAGAAAAAGCATAACAAGAAATGTACAGCAAAAAATGTAGATGCTATCTCATTTGAACTACTCCCGTTTGAACTATAGTTCATTTGAACTATTTTTCATTTCAACTACTGCACGTGGTACCACATATGAGTAGTTTAAATGAACAATAGTTCAAACGAGTAAATATATTGCTCATTTGAACTATTTTTCATTTCATTTGAACTATTCATGAACTATTAATATTTTAAATGAAATAAACAAAAAAATAGTTCAAATGAACATTAAAATAGTTCAAATGGACATAAAAACAATTCAAATGAACAAAAAAAATAGTTCAAATGAACAAAAAAATAGTAAAATGAACACAAAAATAGTTTAAATGAACAAAAAAATAGTTCAAATGAACTTAAAAATAGTTCAAATGCAATAGTTCAAAAATGAAAAAAAAAATATAGCTCGAAAATAAGAAAAAAATATTTCAAATGAAAATGACAAAAAAAATGTTAAACTGGGCATAAAAATAGTTCGAAATGGACATGAAAATAGTTCAAATGAACAAAAAAATGGTTCAATGAATACAAAAATAGTTTAAATGAACAAAAAAATAGTTCAAATGGACATAAAAATAGTTCAAATGAAAAAAAAATAGTTCAAATGGACATAAAAATAGTTGAAATGAACAAAAAAAAATAGTTCAAATGGACAAAAAAATAGTTCAAATGGACAAAAAAATAGTTCAAATGGACAAAAAAATAGTTCAAATGAAAAAAAATTTGTTGAAATAAACAAAAAACTAGTTCGAATGCACAAAAAAAAATATTTTAAATGGACAATAAAAATAGTTCAAATGGATAAAAAATAGTTCAAATGGACATCAAAATAGTTCAAATGGACAAAAAATTTGTTAAAATGTGACAAAAATATGGTTCAAATGAACACAAAAAAAATCTTGCCCCCCCCCCTCGCTAAAATCTGTTATCTTGTATATGGTCACTGAAACTGCAAACATCGGACACAAATATCACATGACACTATTTCCACAGGTTGCCAATGGGCACGTATTAATGGATTGTAATCAGCTGTGGATCAGCTAAGGTGATTAGCTGGGAGGGGGCCCGCAGGCCCGTGGGAGGTGGTGTATTTTTCACATATATCCGCCATATACTCCACTTCTGATCACATGACACTATTTCCACAGGTTGCCAATGGGCACGTATTAATGGATTGTAATCAGCTGTGGATCAGCTAAGGTGATTAGGGGAGGGGGCCCGCAGGCCCGTGGGAGGTGGTGTAGTTTTTACATATCCGCCATATACTCCACTTCTGACCTACGCCAAATCCGCTATACTACACATCCGACCTATTAGCACGTGGTATTACAGCTGCTATATGGACTTGTAGCCGCAGCGCTCGGCCCCCTAGCCTGTCCTAGCCGCAGCGCTCGGCCCAGAAATTGTCTTAATTCCTAATTCCTAACCCTCAAATAATACTAAAATAAACAGCTGGCGTATGGTCCGATATTGCATTTGGTCGGAAAGTTAGTTATAGGTCAGAAGTTCAGTAGGGGGGATGTTGCGTACAGACGATGTATAACATTACCCCGTGGGAAGTGACAGATAAAGGGGCAACGTAATTTTATTTGAAATTTTTGTTTGTTTATTTCATTTGAACTATGTTTTTTCATTTAAAACTATATTTCAATTCATTTCAATTTTTTTTTTTTCATTTGAACTATTTCATTTGAACTATTTTTATGTTCATTTGAACAATTTTTTTCATTAGAACTATTTTCATGTTCATTTGAAATATTTTTATGTTCATAATTAAACAATTTTTTTCATTTGAACTATTTTTTAATTCATTTGAACTATTCTTTTTTCATTTTAACTATTTCTTGAACTATTTTTATGTTCATTTGAACTATTTTTATGTTCATTTGAACTATTTTTATGTTCATTTGAATCATTTTTATGTTTATTTGAACTATTTTTTTGTTAATTTAAACTATTTTAATTGTCATGAACCTGTTCTGGAATGATGTAGGTTTTATAGGCACTTGTACAATGTTGCACTCTTGTTTACCAGGTGCCGTATATTCCGACCTAGATGATTCTAACCTAAAGGTTTTCTGACCTAAATATCGAGTAGTTTGCACGTGTTTTAGGTCGGTTTGGTTGAAAAAAGCTTTGGGTCTGTTTGACATCCTATGAGAAATATATAGGTTTTCCGACCTAAGATTTAGAGATATATTTAGGTTGGTTGAGCATATATATCAGGCCTGTTTACCAGGAAGTTTAAGTTGGATTAGTGACAATTTTAGGTCTGTTAAGCAATATTTTTAGGTTGGTTGAGCAATATTCTTAGGTCGGATGAGCAATATTTTTAGGTCGGATGAGCAATATTTTTAGGTCGGATGAG